ACAAAGCACAAGCACACACATTTTCCGAGGGAAAACACAAATATATATATATATATAGGCGAGAGACCAAGTCGGATGTGGTTAGTAAAACTCGACGAGTGCATTTGCATTTTCCGTTGCCTTTGCCTTTGCCTTTACATTTGCCTTAGCAGCTGCTGGTGCAAAAATTCAAAATTAAAGTCAAGAGAACCGTTTAAGATGCAATTAAATCCCTTGACCCCACTCAGCTCATTAGGCATGACTCGAAATTCCAAACTAATTGCACAACCAGGGCAGGCACTCGGAAGAATACAAAACGTGGGAAATGGAGACGCCTCGAATGGCAGATGATATTGCAATCATCATGACGAATACGAGAATCGAAATGGTAATGGAAAATGGAAACGGTACCAAGGTGTGGTCTCTCCGAAGTTCAAATTGCAATTGCAAAAGATTGCAAAAGCCAAGCCAAATGCACGGGCATGGCTGGCCAATTGAATCATCACCGGGGGTCGGGTGGTCGACTTACCAAAGCCAAACTTCGTTTTTCAGCTCATTTAAATGCTAAGCATGCGATGGTCGGTTTAGGAAAAGTTTAAGCGACAAAACCGCAGTCAGCCGACCGAACTTTATCTAGACCATTAAGTTTTACAAAGGAAAATATGTCAGCTAAGTGCTTGCCCCCTCTCCCCCTTAGAATAAAGAGCTGGGGTATGATTTAGAGGGGAAGTTCTAACATCAAAACGACAAACCGACGAACCGCGAGATGATGACTCAGCCAAAGTCAACAAGCGAACTTAGCAGCAATAAAACACGGCCTCAAAAGACACTTACAGCTCAAACAGACCGGGTTTTGCCCCACAGACAGCTGAAATATGTATCTATATAGCTCATATGCGCTTCAAAAAAGATTACACTAAACTGCGGGGTTAAGTAGTTTAAAAGGAAAAAGGATTATGTATGAAATTTATACGTTTTTAAAGAGAAATATTTGTAATGGTAATAAGTTTTAAGTAACTAATGTTTTAAAATGAAAAAGTAGAAACCCAACTTCACCTTTTTAAGTTCAAACCTCAAACTAAACATCACAACAAGTACAGCGGTCACCTAAGTTTTCCCAGTTTAATAAAAAACCCATCATTAAAATATCCAATTTAAAATTTCCTAACCCCCGCCCCAGCTGGGAAGTGTAAAGAAATGGTGTCTTTGTGGCTGGAATGAGTTTTCTTGTAGTTCTAATTTGCTTGGGTCATGCGTCGAGGTTAATGAGTCATATCATCATCATTATCTCGACACCGAGGCTAAGGTTGCTAGGCTGGAAGGGGAAGGGGAATGGGAATGGGAATGGGCATATACCCTAGATATAGGGACATCATCGTAACAATGAAAGCAGAGGAGGACACACATTAAAATATAATTTCGGAGACAAGCGCTTTTGTTTTGTAATTTAGAAGCAATTAAATGTAAATAAATTCACAATTTAGTCGTATGTTCTTTTTCGACTGTTTTTTTTTCTTCGGGGTTTTTCGCCTCCGTTTGTCTGTGTTTTTACCAACTTTTTTCCCGTTTACTTTTAGCCCCTCTTTTAGCTTGTCGGTTTGGTGACCCGATTTCCGCAATTTAATGACTTTTGTTTGACCAGCGGATAATTGCTGGGAACAAACACAGCCCAAGAACGAGAAGAATTGCGGAACTTTCTTTTTTTCCTCATTTATTTTTTCGCCAGGCCTCACTTAATTCTCTTTCATTTTCATGCGTCTTTTGTTTGTTTTAGTTTTTCCTCTCGTTTGATTGTCTTTCCTTTGCCACAATCTTATACTTTTTCTTCAGTTTTTCTTATATTATCTTTTCTATATCATTTCTTTTTGTCGGTGCTAACGAGCTGTTGATAATTTTTAGCTAAGGCGCACATTTATTGACTTTTTGTGGCATTTGTGGATTTAAGATTTGTGGCATTATCGTTAGCTATCTCCTTTTCGGCCGCCTATATTTGTCTTTGTTTGACCCGCAGCGGAAACGAGCCCTGCCTGTTTTTGTTGTTGTGTTTTCCTTCGGGTTCAAGGTTCAAGGTTGTCCTCCCCCACTCCCTAATTGCTTTTCTTTTTTTTCGTTGCCATTGATATCTTTGTTACACACCCAAACCAGCACACACACTTTAGGATAAGGCAGCTAAAGAAGAAGAAGGCAATTTGCTGGAAAGAGACGTGGCGTGGAGTGAAAGAGATGGGTGGTCTGGAATAGAAAGAGATGGGCCTGGAAGAAGGGAAAACTAAGCGCTTAGCTGCAATTTGGTTGGGAAGACATTAAGTAGCGGAAGTTGATAAGAAAGGCAAGCGAAATGTTATTTATAGATAACCAAAGCGATTTTAGGGAAAATATACAAAAAAAAACGAAGGAAAAGTAATCGGAAATAGAAAGCCATCAAAGGGGTTTCTTTCAAGTGTTTTTCAAAAAAGTATTCCATTTTATTGCAATTTGTGGCACCACTTGGATACGAAATGTGTTTTTGTTTTAGACAACGACTTTGTCTTCTTCTTAAGAATTTCCTAAATTTAACTCAACACTTCACGGCTGAAACAGTAAAAAAAAAAAACACAATTCGTGGAAAAACATCTTCAATATTCATATTTTTATGTTCTCTTTTTTATCGCTTTCAACTCAAGTTAATTCAGCCAACAAAAAATTCAGTACCCAAAGTAAGCCCCAAGAAATACGCTCTGGGGGATAGAGCCAAACTGAACTCAACCCAAAGACCTTAATCCGTAGAACATTAGACATAAGCTCTCTCCTCAGACAGACAGAAAGAATTTCGTATGCCTGAATTATAATTCAATTTATGACCCCGTCCAAATGGCTTAAACTACTTCCCAAATCCTTTATCAGCGGGCCAGGCCACTCTCCTCGATATGCAAGACCTGAGCTGCATGCATTATTATCCTCCTTCGAGAAGAAAGAACCCTCGTCAAACTAAAAAAGAACCTGATAGATTCCAGTCAGTTTCGGAAAGAATCGCCCGCCGGAAGCAACCAAACCCAAACTACATATCCCGCTCTCTCATTAGCATACAAATGTGTCAGAACAAACAACCAAATAACCGAAAGGAACTCAAACGTTAAAAACAACAACAAGAAAATGAAAAGAACCGTCCGAAAAAAATGGAAATGGAAATTTGTGGAGTGGGCAGCGTGATTTCTTGACTAATTTTTATGACACTTTTCACTTTATGAGGTGGCCTCGGCTAATTCCAAAGTTCCCTTTCTTTTTATCCCCTACTTCATTTACCTTTTCGGCTCTTATTGAACGAAGGAACGTCGAAACGTCGGTACGTCGAATAAGCCATATGCATGTTTGTACTTCGGGGCAGTAAAGATTTTTATCGCTCGAGGATGTGTCATAAAATTTCCTAGCTCTCGAGACTATTAAAAACAATAAATGTCAAAACGAAACGGATTTTCCAGTATACCCTCTCGTACGTATATGCGTGTACCCGGAGTGCCAGAGTCTCCAGGGAAAAACTGGCCACGGGTCTAAGGGAAAATAATGGGTCTACTGTAGGTTATGGGGTTGGAAAAATAATCTAAACTGTGTGTTGTCTATGGGTTAGGATAAAAAAAAACATTGAGTGCATAAATATTAAACAAAAATATGTACTGAACCTACCAAGTTGTTTGGCAACACTCTTAGGGGTTTTTTCTTTAAACTTAGACTGATTAACTCAACCTTCAATCTTTACTATTTATTCCTTTATATAGTTAATATATCCAGCAGAATTTTCCTGCATTTAAGCTTCTCATATATTATGTTTTAATCTTCCCTAACATCTATATAAATTCTTCTTTTATTTCTTTCATCAAGTTAAACATCCATAATCCATTTTGATGCAACTACTAATCTTTCTTTGTGCCCCCTTCCAGAACTTCCAACTTCCTGGCCTAATTCTTTCTCATTTAGGACTGCCTCCAAATGTGAATTCTTGCTCTATTTTTATGACTGCCGCTTTGTCCTTGTGTCATGCGGCAGGACATTAGGCAGGCAAATCACGTAAATTATGACCGGGCCACTATAATTTCTTATCGCCGGGACATGATTTCAAATGATAGACTGCGGAGAAGACTGGAATGAAGGCATCTCAGGGCCTGGGGCGAAGATTTTTAGTAGGCGCGACAAGTTTTTTATAAGTATATTTCTCAGAGAAGAAGGAGCAGGAGAAGGAGGATGTGGATGAGGTTGAGGAGTAGGAGGTGGACTGCAATTGGCAACTGGCGCAACGCATAAATTGAGAATTTTTATCTAATCCGCGGCATCTGGGAGACGCGTACATTAGCTGGCACCAGTCTGTCCTGTCCTGTCCCGTCTGGTCTTGTACAATCTAGAGGGAAGGGGACTTACTGGTCCGCTTTTCGGATCGGATTGAATCGCTGCGAGTCTCTGGGACTGGCCAAAAAGCAAGCAGCGCCTGCGACTACGACGACAATCGACAGGCAATAAATCACCCAAAGTTGCCAAAGAAATTTATGTGCAGCAGATTAGGATCGCGAAAAGCGTCATTAGAATAAATTTTCATTGGAAAATGAGCGCCCAGCCAAGTGAAGCAAACGAATTGATGAGAAACAACTCTGTCCAGTAGAAGTTGCAATAATTATGAGTTGGAAAATTCCTCAAGGGAGATTTTCCAATGAATTTTCTAAAAATTATGAGAATATAATATTTTTGAACTTAAGTTATTACTATTATTACGTGTTTAAGGATTGTTAAAAGTTTTCTACTTTAACTTTACTATGGTATTATATGGAATTTTGATAGATATTTTCATGTCTTGATAAACAAATATTTGAGTCTAATCTTTAATAAGAAAACAAGCGTTTTACGAGTCTTGTCTTTTACGTCTTAAAAAACGCCGATTGAATAAGAAGATGCGAGACAAGCATTAAAAATAAATCAATTCTGAGCATGTCTGAACATGAAAAGTAAGCTTATAAAAAAAAGAAGAACTTTAATACAATTTTGCAACTTTGACTTACCTTTAGCTGTCTTCTTCTTTTTCGTCTGCTGCTGCCTTCGCCCGCTGCTCCTTCGCCTGCAACTTCTTCTTCTTTACTTCTAGATTCCCGTTCTTTATCTCTCAGGACATTAATGATTAATCCCAGCGTCGTCTGCTCTCCTTTATCGCTTTTTGTTGTTTTTATTATTGCTGTATTGCTGTTGTTGCTGTGCGTGTGCCGTTATTGGCGGTATAATCCAATAATCCAACACGAAAGAGCGTGTGCAGTGGGAATTGCAAAAACTAGAGAGACACACGCACCCGCACTCACACACAAACAGACACACTCCTACAGAGTCACAGCCACCCACGCACACAGGCAGACAGATTTGCCGCTTTGTTTAGTAAATTAAACTTTTCACTTTTCTCTCCGGAAGGAAAAAACGAAAATGGGCAATTTTCTTACTTTGTTTCGTTTCTTTCTGTTTTATTTTTCTATCCTTAGTTTTGCAGCTTTCGCTTCTTAGTTTTTCAATCACAAAAACACAGAGAGCAAAGGCAATGGCAAAAGCAACAACATACAAACAAACACACACAACAAAAGCAAATGCACGACGCCAACAGCAACAACAATAAAGCGCCGCCGTAGTACACAAAAAATTCCTTTTTCGCTGCGCGTCGTCTCCTTTTATATATTTATATATATATATATACTTATATATGTGTATTTTCCTTTTGTATTCCACACAGCAATTCTATTTTGCTTTCTTTTTTATTAATGACTTTTTCACCTTTAGACTTTATTTTTTTGCCGCACTTTAATTTGACTTCATACATTTTACATCTCTATCGCACACTCACCGTTTAATTGGGAAAAACACACACGATCTCGTCAATTGGTCGCGTAATTGTCGCCGCTCATTTGATAAACATTTGGAGTTTTTCATCCGATTTTCCGCTAACAAACACAAAAAATGCGAAACTCCGCGCTCCGCTCCAAAGTTGAACCGTTCCGATTGAAAATCGTCCGCTGCACAACCCCGCGATTTGAAATTTTTTCGCCGACTGGCTCTTCGACCGGAATTTTAGTATTTCAGTGTATTTTGGTAATTTTAAGGTTTTTCTGGTATTTATATGGGGTCACACTGCAGCGCTCACAGCTTGCCCTCTCTTTCCCTCATGGTGTTCATTAGGCATGTGAGAAAGAGAACGTGGTAATGATGTGCGCAGAGAGTAATATTGCTTGAGCGGGGTGGTTGAAAGAGAGAGGTTAAAGTGACCGTAGCTTGAGTGGCTGAATATCCCACTTAGTGAAAGAAAGTGAGCTCCACAAACAAGTCTCTTGCAGTGAGCCACTTAGTGTGACCAATTGGTAAGCCCGTCTTGGAATTTCAAATTTTAAATGAAGTCTTTTAAGAATTTTACACACAAATCTTAGCCGATTATTCGTTATTCATAATCATAACATGATTATTAGATATTTTGTATATGAGCGAATTGAATTTAGCGCTCGTTTCTAGCATAGATTGGTTTCAGTATTTTTGCTGCCTTACAATCTCTGTTTGCTCCAAAACTGGAAAGTGCACTGAATGTTCAAATAAAAATTTTAAATTTAAATATTGAAGCTGCATAAATCAAAAGAATATTATTAGTTGGATTAAGTCTTTAAAAAACAATTCCTTAGAATTTAAAGCAAGTGGGATAAGTTTTATTCATGAAAACTTAAAAATAATAAAAGATATTACAAAAAAAACATTAGAAATAGTTAGTGCTTATATCCTTTTTGTGGAATACAAACTCAAGAAAAAAAATGTAATTGCTTTTAAACAAGTGTTGTTTATTTAATATTAATATTGTGTTTATGGTTAAATAGTTAGGTATACAATATTATATAAATTTTGTTAATGAATAAAATGTGAGAGAATGACTAAGACAACAAGTGAAAGTGATTTGTTTTTATTTATAATCACTTTCTCCCTTAGGTACACCTACAATCCCTCTCTTTGATAGTGCCATTTTTGTCCTAATCAAAATATTTTCCCCAATAGCTTCTCTCATTTTTTACCACGCTCACCTGATAAGATAAAAAAAAAAATAACTCAACGAGTGGAGCAAATCAATGGTTTTCATACTGAATAAATATTAGTTGCGCTGGACTTTCGCTGCCGTGCGGTTGTTTGCTCTCAAAGCAAAAAAATCACAAAATATAAATAAAAACAGTTATCGCAAAAATTGCAAATTACAAGTGGAAATAATTAAGAAATGACGTCACTGGACGGAAAGGTGTTTTCTTGGATATGCTTGCTCTTTCTAATTTTAGAGATCACTCATACGGAAGGCATCTGCCATTGGTTTGTTAGCCCGTTAAGTTAACCGTTACATAACGCATTATTGATATTGTAATTATCTCGCAGATGATAAATGCATGCACTCGGATAGCTGTGAAAGATGTTTATCCACTCACTTGGAATGCGCCTGGTGCACCGGCAAGGTGAGTGTGAAGGAGATGACTGTAGTGGTTAGAAGAGATCCTTGTTGACAGTATTGAAAAGGAAGACAACAATATTAATTATTGTAACCTTCTTCTAGGAATATACTGTTGGCTATCGGTGTCTCTCTCGCTCTCAGCTCTTGGCTAACAACTGCACTGAGACGGATATATACGAAAATCAGCCGGTTCTAGATGTCCTGCAGGATAAGCCTTTAAAGGACTACGAGACCACCGATCAGGCAATTCAAGTGAGACCCCAAAGAGCATACCTCAAGTTAGTCAAAGGTGTGTTTTGTTCATTATTTTATTTTCGTTATCTTATCAAATGTGTGTCACATTGTGTCTATTCCCCCCTCCCACTCTCTCTCCCTTTCTAACCAACACGTTTTTATTTTTTTACTTTATCAAGTGTGTCACTCTTCCATTTCCCCTTACTTCGTATTTGCTTTGCCGATTTGTTCCACATCATTTTCAAACATTTTGTTTTGTGTCCGCACTTCGGTTATCAGCATTTTGTGGTTGTCACATCTTCTTGTTATTATTTGTTATTGTATTTGGCGTGGGAATATCTCTATCTAGCTATCTCTTTCTTTTGTTTATACCTCCCTGTCTCGACATGGGTTTGATGAACTCATCTAATAAGAGGTGTCTGATTCCTGGATCACAGGATTAGCAAACTTATTTTAGCTTTTTTTCGACGTGCAAATATGAATCATAAACTAAGTTTTTGCTTATTAAAAATGGGAAAAATCACGTTCTCATGAGCAATAAATATTATTGCCCTCAGGGAATCAAACAATTTATGGGAATAATTTTAGAATTTAAAGCAGGAAATGCTTTATCAAATATTGTATACATTTTTGAAACATAATAAGCAATCTTTCTAATCTTAAAAAACTTTCATTTAGCCGAACAAAACTTTAATAATAAATTCCATTGCCTAATTCATAGTCTTAAATGCTTTATAGATTACTCAAATCACCTTGATGATCTTTTTTGAAGTTACTATTTATGCAGAAGGCAGTGAAGATTCACTTAACTATCAGCTTAACTCCTTAGTCTCCATAATAAAGATATGTACCTTTGTCTCAATCGATCTGGTGTTGAGTTAAACCCTTGATCAATCTCCCCATTGACGTCTGTCAATTATTGGCCAACTGAAACAGCTTATTAACCAATTTTATAACCATTTAAAGTAGATCGCAGCCAGCTTAAGACCTAGTGAAAACCCAGTAATTAAGGCCAAAAAGTGCTGTAAAAAAAGCAGGTTAAATTGCACGCTTAGGGATTACAAGGAAACCAAACATTTAGCCTGGGTGTGAACTGGCTCAAGTGGTAATGAATGGGTTGCCAAACAGTAGCAGACTACACTGAAAGGAAATTTATAAGAAGAATTTCATGACTAATTCATATTATTACAAAATTATTAAAGAACTTCAGAAGGCAGCTCAAACTTAAGACTTACTCTTTTAGAACTTTTATAAAGATGGTTTGTAGATTTAAGCTTAAGAATGTTTTTATTATTTTCCAAGTTTTCCCTAACTGCTAAACACTGGAATCTAGTGCAAACTAGTTTCCCTTTTTATGTAGATGTGTCAGCCCATAAAACAGCTCATAAACCAGGCTGCCCCTTAATGTTGCTTAGTAAACCAATCTATAACTTTTTACCCCATTGCCATCCTTTGTTCCACAGGAAACACGCAACGAATCAAGCTGAGCTATAGGACGGCAAGCAATAATCCACTCGATTTGTACGTGCTGATGGACCTCACCTGGACGATGAGGGACGACAAGGACACCCTGGAGGAGTTGGGAGCTCAACTCAGTCAGACTTTGAAGAACTTAACAGGAAACTATCGTCTAGGCTTTGGCTCGTTTGCGGATAAGCCAACGTTTCCCATGATCTTGCCGCAGTACAAGGAAAACCCATGTGCCGCGGAGAGGGCTCAATGTGAACCCACCTATGGCTTTAGACATCAGTTGTCCTTAACTGATAATATCCCTGCTTTTACTGGAGCCGTGGCCAATAGTAAGATCACTGGGAATTTGGATAATCTGGAAGGTGGCTTGGATGCCCTTATGCAGGTTATAGTGTGCACCAAGGAAATCGGTTGGAAGGAACAGGCTCGAAAAGTGGTGATCCTAGTAACCGATGGCTTCATGCATCTGGCTGGAGATGGTCTCCTAGCTGGTATTATAGAGCGCAACGATAAGCAATGCCATCTTAATGAGGCAGGTGAGTATACAGGCTCCTTGGACTATGATTACCCATCGCTGGAGGAGATCTATCGGGAGTTACTGCGCCGCAAGATCAATGTGATCTTTGCTGTTACCCAGAATGTGGTGAGCAGCTACAGGGAACTCAGTGCCCTGATGAAGGAAATCAGTTATGTGGACATCTTAAGTGCTGATTCCTCTAATATCTTGGAGCTTATCAAGAAGAGGTGAGTTTGGTTTTTGATTTATAATTCGATTTTTGTTCAATTTCCTTGATTTTAGCTATGAGAGTCTCATCAAACGCACTCAGTTCGCTGATAACAGTCCGGACTATATAGATATGGTCTACTATACGGACTGCGGCGGCCAGTTTCCCACTTTGCAGAAACGCAATTACTGCAATAATGTTAATTTGGGCAAGGAGATCGACTTCTATGTGGACGTTACATTGAAAAAATATCCGGAGGATAAGGTTTATGTAAGTAAATTAATTCTAAAAAACAACCTTAAAACCTTTTTAATCACAAATAACTTTCTTCTTGCAGACCCACAAAATCCGAGTAGAAGAAACCTCCCTCAGCGAGTACATGGACTTGGATGTGGAGCTGCAGCGTCCGTGCCCGTGTCAGGAAACACCGGAACCGGAAAACGAGTTCGGGCGTTTCCAGTGCCAGGACCAGGGATATATGTACTGTGGAATGTGCATTTGCGACAGTGGATGGACTGGCACCTTCTGCACCTGCCCCATAGACTCCACAAACGTAACCAGTAACGAAGCTCTGCTCCAGAAATGCCGTCAGCCATTGGCGGATAGGACAACCTCCGAGTTGGTCTGTTCCAATCATGGTGATTGCGATTGTGGAAGTTGTCAGTGTGATATTGGCTATACGGGTCCATACTGTGAGTGCCGCGAGTGCTTGGATTGTGATGAAAAGCTGGCGGATTGCTTCTGCGGGCAGTGTGTCTGCAAATATGGATGGTCCGAGAACGGATGCAATTGCGATGTGGATACGGATGCCTGTGTGGGACCAACGGGGGAGATTTGCTCGAAGCGAGGGACTTGCGAGTGCGAGGAGTGCCAGTGTGAGGAGCCTTATTTGGGAAAATTCTGTGAAATCGATCCGGAAAAGGATAACAAGCTGTGCCTGTTCTATGAGCCCTGTGTCACCTGTCTAATCGAACAGAAACAAGGAATGGGCGCCTGTGAGAACTTAACTCAGATATGCAGCAGCTTGGATCGACAGGAAACCTATTCCTATTCCTTTGTCCATGAACTGGATCCGGAGCAGGATCAGTGCTTGGTGCGAATGGTGAACAAACATGGCATGCAATGTGATAGCTTCTTTGTCTACAAGGTCGTCGATCATTCCAATTTTTTGACCATTCAAGCTGTGGACTGCGAACCCGTGGATTATGTGGCCCTCGTGGGTTATATATCGGCGTTTACCTTGCTAATTGGTCTCTTGATCATCTTCCTAATCCTGTGGTGCATTCGTGCCAAGGATGCCAGGGAGTATGCCAAGTTTGATGAAGAGCAAAGGAACAATGTCAGACAAGAGAATCCACTGTACAGGGATCCTGTGGGCAGATACGTAGTGCCCAAGGCTCTTAGCGTAAAATACGATGAGAATCCTTTTGCCAGTTGAACAAAAATATAGTTTTAAGATTTAACTTTAAGTCTAAGAAAGTCTCCTCAAGCTTGAGGCTTAAACAGATCTTGTCAGTAACCCAAAAATAACAAACTTAAGAAACTATTTTTAAGAAGTATTGCCAAAAAAAACACTTTTTTAAGTTCCATTTTTTATATAATATATTTTGAACATAATTTTGTTTTTTTTTTTACATAAAATTTGATAAATTTGTTCAATAATTCGTATATAATATCTAAACTAATATTAACTAAGAATTTGTTATAGCTAAGAAAACGAGTATAAAATATTTTTAACAAAGTTTTCAGTTTTCAGTTTTCGTATTCGACAATTCCATTGAGCAAACATTTTTGATTTCCTTCATGATTAGTATAAAAAAATAATGGCTTAAGGACTTGGTTTAAATCATAGAGGCTGTTGTATTAAATTAAGTGATGACTACTGGCAAAATCGGAAATGCAAAACATTATCTTAATATATATATATAGAGAGAGAGAGAGAGAATCGTACATTAGGCATTACAAAAATACGATTCGATTAATTAAGGCTAGACGCTTTCTTTCCCCTTTCAATCTACTTTAACTAAATGTAATATCACTAGATTTGTAGCTTAGATTTAGTAAATGGTTCCTCGCAGCGCGACAAAATGCCAAAAACACGAAATTCAATTACACATTCTCGTAACTCCACACGCTCATAAAATGCACACAACGTTTGGAAAAAAGAAAAACTTATAATGTGGAATAATAACAACAACGGGAGTGGGTGGTGTTGGGTGTCTACGCCATGGACATGCTCAAAGTACACGCTCCCCCAGCGACGGTGTCCTTTGGATGAGCATCGAGGGTGGCTTCGCCGGCAGGGTAACGCTACTTAGCTCAGCATCCAGAGCGGCAATATCATCGGCGGCCGTCGACTTCATCTGCAGCGGTACGGGGGCGGCTATGGAGCTAGGCAGGCCATGGGGTGAGGCATCGGGCACCAGGCGCTTCAGCAAACCACCCACACAGCCCCAGGGGAAGGTCCTGTGAAAATACACGAGAAGAGAAAGTGGGGTTGAGGTGAGCAAAAGGTGGGCCAAGGCAAAGGTAAATATTATGCATTATTTAAGAGAAACACATTAAAGCGAGACCATTAGGCATGGTAATGTGACCGAAGGGGCGCGCTATGATTTAGGGAAGGGGCAAGGGGAGGTTAGATACACTTAAGTTCGAGAGGATAAGATAATAAATGAAATATATGTCTGAAAATATGGTAACTTGATGTTCTTATTCCTTTTTAAATCTTAGAAAACTTTCTAGAGATCAAATCTGAATTTTATTCTTCTTTTCAACATATTTTCCTATGAATTAGTTACTCATATTTAACTACTTTAAACTGACTTAAACTTAAAAAGTCTTCTTTTATTTTATATATAAGTCTGGGGTACTCTTTTCTAACAGTGTACTGGATGAGCGAGCATTTCCCGCTTAGGTTTGCATTTTATCAGACTTTTTCTGATGGGGTAGATAAAGATGTGGTCATGCTTTTTGAAAACGTAGATTTTCTGCCTTTTATTGGGAAATGTGGACATTAAAGTTTTATTGCTAACATTGAGCTTAAGGAATCTTAGCCATGAGTAGGCAAAAGATTGTCTCTTTTTGACTTTGAAATTAGTTTTGTTTTAGTTTTAAGGGGTTTCCAGACTAATATTACACATTTTCCCTACGATTTTCTTGACTTTTTCGCAACCAAATAAACCCCCTAATTAAATCCGAATTTATAACAACACCTGCATACAATATATGATTAATTCCCCCTCCTCTCTACTAAGATAACCACCATTAAATAAACTCAAATTAAAAATATTCAAGTCAAGCATTTCCCATTAGGGAGCCCCAGCATACAAGCCCCCTTACAACCATTATGGCGCCTAATTAAGTACAGCAAATTATCATTATTAGGACTGAGAGGGGAAAGTCCATTTGTTTACTTACCACTTGAACGAGAGGAGGACCTTCAGGAAGCCCGGGATGACGGCAAGTTTCTCATTCTTCCTGATGGCAGCAATGACACGATCGGCCACATCGTTGGGATTCAGTGTGGGGACCCATCTGCAATCATTTACCCAGTCAAAATGTCAGTTCTGATGGTGCGGCAGGTAATGTGGCATACACTCACCTGGCATTCACATCGTCGAACATGCCAGTGGCCTGGATGAAGAAGGGGCAGATACAGGTGGTACGGATGTTCGTATGTCCAAGGACTTCCAGCTCCAGTCTCAAAGCCTCATCAAAGCCAACCTGTAATTATTGATCGGTACTCCCATGTAGAAGAGGGGAACAGTAGAGGGCATTAAAATAAAGCAAACTCACCGCTGCGAATTTACTTGCACAGTAATCGACCAATTTGCTAATGCCCACATGGCCGGCCAGCGAGGCGATCGTGGCAATGTGTCCTCGATCATTCTCAATCATTTTGGGCAGAAATGCTTTTGTCGTCTGCAACATTGAAACAGTGGTTATTATTAGCATTCACATTCTTGCAACAAAGTGCTCGTTTTCTTACCCAAAAGTGTGCCATGACATTCACATTGAAGGAACGCTCGATGAGATGGTCAGGTGTGTCCAGAAGGTGCAGGCCAGATACAACGCCCGCATTGTTGATCAGCAGAGTGATCTGGAAATGTAAGCAAAAAGTGCCCAAAGTTATAAAAGGTGTTAGGTAGAAGGAATCTGCTAAATTATCTTTTAAAAATTATACTAATTAAGTCCATTAAGGGGAATGAGGCAGCTTGGAAGGAAAGTATAAGCTCTTTTTTTTGAGGGGAAATCAAAGAACTTTGTAAGATTTTTTTAAAGATGTTTTTATATACATCAACTTCAACTTTTAACTTAACAAAATGCCTCAAACGAAACTAAAAAAACGTTAAGAAAACTTTGAAAATAAATCACTTAATGAATAAACTTTTTAGCAAACGTAAAACCAGATTTATTTAAATGGCATTGCCAAAAATCTGGCCTGCAGTTTGGTTATTTCGCAACTTCTTGTCGTGCCACTAACACCAAAAGGCCAATAAATATTTTTAATTCTCAACTCGCTTGAATTTTTGGCTAGTTTTTTGAAAGAGGCGTGGGCTGGCCTAAGGCTGGGTTAGTCTATAAATTTTATGATTTATGAACTAAGCAAGAAAATTAATTTAAATTGAAGTTTCTTTTTGAAAAATTCCAAAAGAATCTAAAGTTGAAGGATAAAGTAGAGTTTCCCCGGCAATTTCCTTCAAATGAATAGATTTCTTAGCCAAAAAGTGAAATCCTCTTGGTCGCAGCCAACCACAATGACGAGCATGTCAAGGCCTGACTGCTTAAAATGTAAGATGCTTGAAAAACTTAAATAACAGCCCACTTACTTTGCCTCTACTAAACCAAAATAAAAGCCAAAATAAAAAGAAAACACAACTACAGTTGGTAGTTAAATAAGTTAACAACAAGTGCACACAACAATGATCCGATTTGAGGGCGAGTTCAAGTGCAATTGGTGGGGGCAGGGACAGGGACAGGGACAGGGGCAGGTCATACATTGCGTATGAGCGATTTCGAATTTGCCCCGCTGTAGCCGGGCAAAAACATTTAACGAGGCGTGCATTAAGCAAAAACAACAGTGGCCGACCATTAAAGCCAACAAACAACAACATTGCCAGGCCATTAAAAAATATTAAATGTAATATTTTCGAGCAATAGTAAAAACAACAACAACAACAACAACAACTCCTAAAAAATGTCAACAACAAAAAAAAGCAACGCGTCATCTGCATAACGCATGACTTACTAAGCAGTTAAATGTTGTTGTTTTTTATCTTCACTTTTTTTTTGTGACTTTCAGGTTCAACGATGTTTGCCACTGTCATTATATAACTCTTACAAAATGATGGCTTTATTAGTGTTTTTTTAACTTTTTTTTACCATTTTTTGTGTTCTTTTTGCTTGGCTTTTTTATGCTTGACTTTCTGACATAATTTTAAACACTTTTCCAAGCTTTTTTCCACTGAAATTATAATTTTTGAGGTTTTGGCAGTTCAGTAAACTTCGGCTACTGACCTGGCCAAGCATGAAAAATCTTTTAATGATTGTGTTTAGAAGCTTGCGGCAAAAATTTTGGGGTAATTATTTAACTGAGATTAAGTGGCTTAAATGGTAGAAGTTTTTAGAGGAGGTGTAGGAAATTATTAAGAAGTTTCATAGAAAAATTAAAAAAAAAAGTGTTAAAACTTTAGATAGAAAGTCACAAAAAGTAAAGTCTTTAAACATCTTTTGATGAACTTTTGAAAGGAATTTATAGTAGTACAGTATAGTAGCTTCAAGACCTAAGAATTTTCAGGTAAAATAATATAAAGTTTAAATAGAAATAAAACACTTTTCATATAAGAGAATTACCATTAATCTCTCAGCTTGATTTTCCTTCAATTCTGCTTGTTCTTCGACCAAAAACTTAACTCATTTTATAATCAACGGACTCCCTCAACCTTGACTATAACCATTTACCACACAACCATTAGCTAAACTCATATAAGAAAAGAATAAACTTCTAATTAAAAGTACAAAACTAAAAACCCATAATTAGCCAAGTAAATTCATTAAAAACCTTAAAAACTAACAAAAACTTAAACAAAAACCTAGCAAAATCTCTCTGAAACAGCCTGGAAGCTGCTCCAGATTGTGATAAATGTGCAGATCGAATGCGTAGTGGCAACCAGTTTGCAGAAGACCGGATTGTAGTTGGCTTCTGCATTTTTGTTGCGCCTGCCGTTTGTGTAATGTGCAACAATTTCTCAAGGTTGCCGCAACGATGACGATCCGCTCATGCATACAAATTTTCTTCTTTTTCTTCATCGTCTTCTTCTACCGTTTCGCCGCCCTGGCTTCGGTTTAAATTTATGACATGAATATGCATAAATGTGTTGCTACGGGGTGTGGCAGCCACTGTTGGCTACTTGGATGGTGCCGGCTTACATGTGTTCCGCGATCTTTCTCTCTCTCTCTATACAAAGCAGGAGGCAGAGGCAGAGGTTCTGGCCAGCATAAAGGCCATTAAACGCCCCTCAACAAACAATTATATGACGACTAGTCGGATGCCACATTAGGCGCTCGACTGTAAACAGCAATTACTGGACTTTTATGCTTCAATTCCCGCACGCACTTCCCGCCCCCTTTTCCCTCGGCTCCAAAGGGATTGAGAAATATGGAGAAATATCGGTTATATTTGATGTATCATTAAAAACCAGCGCTTTTTCAGGGAATTTTCTATCTTTGTCTATTGACTCGGGCTAAGACCATCTATAACTTCGATGAAATGGGTCTAGCGAGCCTTACTTTTATCTTTAAGGAACTATCTTTTAGTACTATGGTCTGGAAAGAAGGCTATTAACTTAATCCTTAAATGACTTTGATTAGAATTCATAAAAAAGTGCAATAAAAAGTTGATGATTCCCAACTAAGCCGCTTAGAAAACACCTTTTCTTTCGAGCAAAAACACCTTTTTATATAATATTTCTTTAACAAGATATTTCCCCTTTATACTTACATCACCAACTTCCTCTCTGATGACATCGGCTGCCTTGTAGACCTCCTCCTTTTTGGATATATCCACCACATAGCCCTTGCAATAACCGCCAGCTTCTTCTACGATTTCCACAGTTTCCGCAATGCCTAAAAAAAAATAATAACAAAAAGTTAATTTGATAACCCTGACGAATGTCGCGTGATCTGTATAACTCACCCTTCTTGTTGATATCCCAGATAATGACCTTGGTTCCCATCTTGCCCAGTCTCTCGGCCAGCAGACGACCCAGTCCATTGCCTCCACCTGTGATCAGGGCCAACGTCTGTGCTGAGCTCCTTTTCGGGATAGCCGAAGGCAATGTAGTAGAGATCCTGGAAGGCAAAAGAGAATTGAATTTAATTAGAGTAAGGCCATATTTAAGTTTTAATGAAGAGTTCATTAAATATCAATTTGGCAAAGGGTTTCTACAGAAGAGTTCATTAAATAAACAGACTTTGGTGTGGGAAAAACTATTTAAGTTTCATTTTCTTGGTTTTTGAATGACTTTAGTTCTTAGTGAAAAGTAAACTTTAAATGCTGACAAAGATATTTAATAGCTAAAAGCTTGTTAGATTCAAATTTATGACCAACATTTAAAAAGCAAGTGGTCTTGTAAAAAATAATTTATGCTACCTATAATGACTTACAAAATCTGGGAATATTCCTAAAAAAAACCAGTTCTGCCACACCCAAAAACCATAAATAAAAATACTTAAAATATTCCTTAAAATAAGCAAGTCAAAGAATTTCCATTTAGCAAAAAAAAACCATCAACATTTCTATCTTTCTCCCTTTCCACCTCACTCTGCTAACGAGTTCGTCGCCTAAGTCTTTTGTTTCTTCGCCTCATTCACTTCCCTTATGCAGACCAAAAAGACCAATCCGAGTCACGCGTATGCAAATAGAGACAAATTCAAAGTTTACACAATACCCAAAAGGAAGCCCGAACGGAGTGTAAAATTGTAAACAACTTTTGCCACTTGGCATCTGCGTGTTAATAGACCGCAATTTGCCGGCTGGCAAAAAAACAAACCATCGCAGGCGGCTGTGGGCGAGGCAAGTAGTTCACCTCAATGGCCCCGCAATTAATTGATACATGTAGGTAGTTTAAATATGTGCAAAAAGACAACAAAAAACAATAAATAAAACATTTTTGATGCCCGTTTAGTGTCAATAAGCTGTCAAAATTTATGACCATCGCGCCTCCCTGGCAGCAGTTTAAAAAATGAATAAAAAAAAGGGAAAAGGAAAAGCCAAGGAAAGGCAAAACAAAAGACTCTGGCGGCGAACTTAATATTTAACATGTTGCACAGTAGCACTTTCTGCATTGCACGCGGGGGCATCCCATAAATTTTCATGCCACACGCGAACTTGCCGCCGCCAGCCAACCGCCCCATCCGCTTAGGGCACCTGGTCGTGGTCCCGATGCCTTTGCACCTGAAACTGCAACTTAACTGGGCTCACAAAACGTCCAAGCCGGCAACCGTGTCCAATTATTTTGACATTAACAATGAACGTGTCGCAACTTTGTGGCTTTTTAAGTACTCTTTTAAGGGGAAGTAATCTAATGTTTACAATTTTTTGATATTTTTTAAAGAATATATTAGACGAAACGCTGATTTTCTCTTTCTTTTCGTTTTAAGTTTGTTTTTAGAACTAAAAGAAGTTAATATTTACAAAGCTTAGAGTTCTTTTCAAGCTTTATAGTTTGTATTTTTATAATTTGTAAAGCTAACTAACAAGTTCTTTAAAAAGTATGAAGAAAAACCTTTCAAACAGATAGAGTATCTCCCTTCCGTCATCTCAAAAACTCAAAATCTTCCCACCATTTCTTTTTAGCAAACATTTTCCTGTCTCCCCCAAAAAAAAAAAAAATGGTATCATAAATTATACAAAAATTAATCAAAGGAAACTTGTTACCGGTGGCAGTCTGGGGCTGCAGGTTGATGTTTGCTGACAACAATGATGATGAGTTGCTTTTGGCCCTTTTCTGTTGCCAAGTTACCAATTTACCAAGTTACCAAGCTGCTGCTGCCAGCTCGTTGACAGACATTTTGTCACATAGTTTGACACGCAAGTCCAGCAATAACAAGGACAGGAAGCGGGCAATTATAATTTATACATAATACGATAATCAACATAATGGGAGCAGCGATTTCTTTTCATGTTTGGCTCATGACATAAGATGACAGAAATATGCAAATTCAAATCGAATTTAATGTGGTCGAGAATGAAAAGAGAAAGATCACGGAAACTTTTCAAGACAAATGTTAATTTTGGTTTTGCCAGACAAGTTTCCAAATTTTAGCCAAGTCATTTGAGAATTTGTGTGTCTGCCTGAAAAATATGTTTCCCCCAAAACCTGCCGAGTCAGCATAAAATCTATTCAACTGGGTTTATTGGTCCCCTGGCATTAGTCTCTCTCTCTTATTTGTCGTCTGTCTTTTTGGTTTCTTGGTGACTGTCAAGGTCTTAGACTATGACCTTTGTAATAGACATAGAGAAGGCCCTTCAAACCAGATTGATCTTGGATGCACTGATTTTGATTTGATAGACTTCGAAGTGATTGGAAAATTTTCAAAGGTCTTTGCCATTTGAGATTGATTAATGGTTATTTGATTTTGGTAACGGAAATTCGTGAAGAGGCGAGAAATCGGACAGGTTAATTATGGATGCTTTACAGCTTACAAGACTGGAAAATTATTTAACCTTGAAGGTTGCATTTTGATTTCCAATTTACATAATAATTTTACAGTTTCCATGGTTAAATTAGTTGTTTTTTATATTTTAAGAGAGCAGCTTGGCAAACATCATTAGCATTGGCTTACGAATCCCGGTTAATAATTTAACAAAGTTGCACAAAAATCACAGAATGTGTTTAGCTCGTTAGAGCTGTTTAAACATTAATTAACACGATGGCCGCCCCTTCATTAGCCACTGTGGTTAAATAGCCAATAAGTGTATGGAATTCTGTCGTCTTGGGATTGCGAAAATCTTGCATAATATTTATGGAAAAAATAGCAAGAAACCGAAATGCCAAGCCGCTGATCTCTGGATCTCAGGCTAGTCTCACGCTCAGACTTCTAAGGCGGCTTAGCCGGCGTTTGGGTTATTTCCATTCCCGCCGCTGCCATCATCATCATTACCATCATCATTTGCGGTAACTCTGCTCTCTTGGCCAGTAATCAAATGTTTGCAGACAAAAGCAAATCGACAAACTCGTTTCCCTCTCTCGCTATCCTTGTCGGCTTGGCTAAAGAATTGCGAAAATATCAACAAGCTGGAGTTGCTGCCAAAGTCTGGTTAACATGGTTAAGGCGGTTAACGTGGTTCTAAAGCCGGCCAGAAAGTGAAACCGAATACCACAAAAACTGGCGGTATCTTGCCCAACCTAAAAGCAACGCACACACCTGCATGCTGTCGACCAAATTGGCTCCAATTTTGGCCACTTCTTGTGAGTGTTCGAGTCTTAAAGTGCTCAGTAGCTTTGAGTGCATTTTGAGTGCGATTGAGCCAAGAAAAGCAAAGAAACAAAAGACTTAAGGCACGAACTTGCCACAAAACATTGTAAACGCCGGTGTTGCAATGCTGCCAATGCACAAACACTTGGCTGACTGCTGCTGCACAACCTCCCGCCCCCCTGCTTGGCCTCTCCTCTGAATGACCTTCTTTGCCATATCGCTTTGAAACTAGACACCGACACCGACAGTTGCAATAAAAATAAAAAAGCAATATTAAATGCATCAGAGATGGGTGTTAGTGCATTTTTTATACTCTTAAATAGTTGAAATAATTTTAAAAATATTTATTTTTTATGTAATTTATATAATTTATGTAATTTTTATACTTTAAAAAGCTTTTATTTTTTTTTTTTTTGATTTTTTTTAATATTTATTTTATGTAATTTTTATTTATTTAAAATCTTAATTTAAAATATGCCTATTTTATGGTAGGAAACACCCCTTGTTAATATATAATTTTTTTCTATTTTTAAAACAAATTTATAAACAAATTTAGGCAAAAGTCAGCTTTGTTTTTCGAAATAAAAATATAACCAAAACGTACTACTAAGTTGATATTAATTAACTTTTTGTTTTAAGAACCTGCAAATTAAATTTTGTTTTTAATATAAAATTAGTTTAAAATTTAAATAAAAACTACAATATAAACCCTAATACCCTCAGTAAGATCCCAAAGGCATCACAGAATACAATAATAAACCTGAAACTGAACCCGCCGACAACAACAACAACAAAAGCAGCAAACACATCTACCATTAGACTGCAACCTAATGCATTGCATTTGAATGGTTTAGTCTCACCTACCTACCCCCTGCTCACCACTTTATACACTTGAAAGTTTTCTAAGACTACCTGGCCAATTGGCCAATGATTTTGCACTTTAAGTTTTGTGTTTGCTCACGTCTGGCTTCTCTTTGCCGTTTTGCTTCTCTTTTTTCGCGCTTTTTGCCAATTTTTATGACAGGCGGGTGGTCGGGTGGCTGTCAACGATTGCCGGCACGGCCTTCAATGGCAATTTTCATTTATAGATTTTTGGTTTTTAAATTAGCATCACAATAAAGGTTTCTTGCAGTGTATTTGGTTAGCAGACACGCGCTCATAAATCGCCAAAGCGAGTTCTATGCGATCTCGATGGCTGCAAGTTGAGTGGCAATTTGTCTGCCAAGGCGGATATTTGCCAAGCCAAATTCAGCTGCAACGGATATGTCGAGTGATTAGCTAGAAGTACATTTATTTTAAGACTGGGTAACTAGCAGGTGTCACTAATAAATGGGCAAAATATCTGAGATTATTTTGGGTATTAATTTGCGGTCAAGAAGTGGCTTTTGGTTTTGAAATTAAAGACATGGTTAGGAGTCTAAATCAAAATCTGTAAAGTAAAAAATCAGATTTTTTAAAGATTTTTCCCACACCTATAAACTCTAGAACCTGTTGGTAGTTTTTCCTATAACTCAACCTCTGTTAAGTGATTGCAAAACCATCATGAGGTGCTTAAGGAATTTTCAAGAAATACAATTAGCTTCCTCGAATAATTTTAAGTGCTCGCTTGCCGGCACACATTGTAGCTTGCAGTCAGCCTGATGATGTACGATGTGGCTGACAGACAGTATTTTTTTCTCATATATAATATATATTTTATGGCCATTGACGTGTCACACACCCGCCCCGTAACCCATTTATTTTCAGTCTCCCGCACACACACACACACCTTGCCAGTTGAAAGCACAAGGCCGCATGCGGGTTATGAACCTGCAACTGGCCCGGTCTCTAAGCCAAACAAAACAACTTTTGGCTTACAAAGAGGTGAGCTAAGCCAACAGCACATCCATCCATCTATCTAGGTAGCCATCCATCTAGTAGTAAGATATTGTATTTAGCTATTTGCCTTTCGGGTGGCCGCAAACACTTTCAATTTCAATTGCGTTTGCGTTTGCCTTTGCAACGCACACAAAAATGCCAACGATTGCCCGCCAAATTGCTGTGTAGTGTTGTTGCTGTTGTTTTTGGTTACCACAATTACAATATGATGTATGTGTGTGGGTCTTGCGGCTAGCTAATAAAAACAGGCTCTCCAAGTGGCCAGCCAGCAAGCAGCAACACCACAAAGCCGGCAAAATGCAAAAGTTGAACTAGGTCAACAAGCCAAACGCAGCCGCGCAGTTGACAGCAGCTTGGGCAGCGGGCAAGTAACTCTGCTGAATTGGCTCATTACATGCCCCGTGGGGGCACTCGCAGAAAAATGACCCGAAATGGTCAGAAAAATGTTGAAAATTCTTGTTTAAAGTAAAGGTTAATAAATGTTAATAAGAAAAAAATCCAATGATTAGGATTTTCCAAATCCTTACTCTAACTTTTTCGAACTATACTTTTCTTTCAGTGTAATAGAGCTCCCCCTCTCAAAGTTTCCCACTCGTAGGAGGAACTTTCAGCGCAAGTTTGTTGCCTAAGTCTTTTGTTAAATGCATGCCAGCAATGCATTGACATAAATCGGGCTAATAATACACTATAAGAGTCCCCCCTCCCAACTAATTTTCAATTCAATCACAACAATCAGCTGGCAATTTGCACATCTGCCAGCGCAGCTATCATCGACTAGCCAGTCAAGCGCTTAGCGCTTAGAATCATCATTTAATCGCTTACCAAATCCGTAAATTTACATGCAAATTCAAGTTGTCTTTCTGAGTCGCTGATTTTGCAATTTGGCATGCAAAATGTCAACAGCCAGTATCTATTTTTTATGACCCTCTACGGCGAGAGCAACTCATGCATAATGATGATGCCACATAGTTGCAAGCGAGGCATACTGATGAAGCTGGCTATCATGCCACACTTATTTCACGATCACATCTCACTAACCCTTGATCTCTTTCGTTTCTTTTCATTGTTTGCGGTAAAGTGAAAATATAATTACCAAAAGGCGTAGCTTATGTAATAAAATTGAAATTGTTTTTATTTCTTTTTTTGGGTTATTTAAAAACCACTTAGCGTGTCAGAGTGTCAGCGTAAGGCTCTGTGCTTTGGGCCTAATTTTAAAGTTTATCGAGATTGCTGAGTAATTTTATTGGCTCGAAAGCCCTAATGATGATCTTATCGCTTGCGATTCTCAAAGTTTGCCATATCATTCAGGTTTGTAAAGGCAATTAATTAGGCATGTGACCAATAAGCTACGGCTTTAGTCATTTAAGCTTACAAATTGGGATTGATGAGTGGTTTTTTATTCATTTTTAATACTAGTAATGCAAGTTCATTGATGGCTGATAAAGAATTTGAATCTCAAGCACCTTACTCTCTTTCTTCCCTGCCAAACTCACCCACTTTATGACCCTGATTTATTCAATTAATCTGTGAAAATATGAACAGTGATAACTTAATTCCAAACTAGTTTCTTTCATCCTTTCCCTCTCCCTTGGATAGCATCTCAAAACACCAAAACCCCGTAAGTCAAAATAAAATATGGTTCACAGGCTGGTTTACATCATCTCTGAGCAAGTCGGTCCCTAAATCGCCGGGCCCCTCTCTCTCTCTCTCTCGTTGAGATACGATCTTTAAACTTGTCTCCGGTGAATCTTAATGCCTTAAATCTCTTTCACTGTTCCAATTAAACGACACACGTGCTGCCATTGGCAATGCCCATTAACTTTGGCCATATATCACATCCTTTTCGCTGCTAATTAAATAAGTTAATCGCTGTCGTTCATTACCTTTCCCCTTTTTTTTCTTGACAGACTTTGGAATTCTCAGTGCGATTCTCTCTCTCTCTCTCGGCCAACATTGACACATTTCGTGTTTTGAAGGTAAAAAACCTTAACTAAATCACACAATGTTGCTAATCAGCCAAAGTCAAAAAACGAAGGTGAATTATTCTTGCCGAGCAAAGGAAGCTAATTTTGGGGATTTTTTAACAATCGTTTAAACATTTTTTTTATTAATCTGTTGTAAACAAAAGTGGGAAGGTCTTGGCCAGAAGGCAGTTCGAGAGACAATAAAGACTTTGATTTGATTGCTCAGAAATTAGATACCCTCTTGTTTATGGCCATTTTTTTATTAGATGATAATTAAAACTGAAGCTAAGTTTGACTTTGATTTATTAAATTAAAGCAGTCAGAAGGGGTAAGGTTAAGTTTTTATGTTTGTCTTTTAAAGTAACTATATTAGTTTGACCTTTGAATGGAGTTAATGTTTCGGTAATTTTTTAAACAAATACATATTTTTATTAGTTCTTTATTAATTTGAAGTTACTAAGCTTTTGGTGGTGAACAAATAAATATTTTCTTATATGTTTTGACCTCTAAAATATATCTGTAATTTATTTCGAATTTTGTACAACATTTTTATATTAAATTAAGGTTTTCTTTCTCAAAAACTCTTAAGAAACCCTTCTAAAAATTGCCAAAATATTTGTTAGGATTTATTTCTTTTTTCTAACACTTTTTCTATAAATTTTCCTAGACTCACCTGCAGAATGTATCCAATGCAGCAGATGATGAACCAGGCCACATCCGCAAAGGCATCCCAGGCATTCCACAGGAACTGACCCCAGCTGTCCGTAACAGGAGTCACTGCCTGCTCTTTAGGGTGGACCACTCCGTTGCCATTCGAGAGAGCGTGTCCATTGGCCAGAATCTGCTCACTTACAGCTGGCAGGTTGTTATTGTTTTTCTCCATTTCGAATTTTGCACAGATCTACGTTTTAGCTAGTTAATTTGGTAGGTTTTTGATCACACTTTTCACACAAATTTAATTGGCTTTCTTTTTATATAATTTTTCTCGTAGTTTTTCTTTTGTTAATTTAAATGCAAACGAAGCACAACAACCGCAAGCAACAGACGCGTTTTTAATTTGGCTTTTTGTTTTGATTTCGTGAGGGTTTTATTATGATTTTTTGTTTTTGTATATATAGTATATAGCTTGGATCTGGGTCTGATTTTGTTGTCGGATTTATCCGCACTGCACGTCCGCTCTCGTGAGCGTAGCAAACGAATTTGAACGTTGTGGGCTCGAAAGGAATGAATTTCGACTTCTTATTTTGGCGCGCTATTGGATATATCGCCGGCGTCGACGTCGACAGCGCTGCTTCACCGCTCGCCGCTTGGCCGAAGCTAAGCTTGTGACGTCATCGTCAGCTTCAATCGCAGCTTCGGCTTCGGATTGTTGTTTCTGTTTTTTTTTTTGGTTTTATTTTTGTTTTGCTTGTTTCTCGGTTCTTATGTTGCTTTCGGCCTGCGCTTCGCTTTACGCTATTTATCGCTTTATTTTTCCCCTTTCGTTTGTGTAATTGTTTAAATTTAATTGAGATTTATGCTTGGTTATGGGTATGTTTATATTTTTTATAAATTTATCACCTGCCTTAGAAGGACAGTGTGAACATGACTAATTAGCGTTATGAAAACATAAAAGTTAAATTACATCTTACTTGGGTGATGCATTTGCTTGTAGTTTAAGAGTGAGGGTTGAGTAAGCCTTTTTAGGGTCTTTTATGGTGTGTAGTAATGAGTTAATTATATAAATTATCACTTAAGAAAGCCTTCTAAGGGGTGTTAAAAGTGCATTAACACTTTTAATTTACTCATTTCCCAAAAGGCGCATTCTTTTATTTATGTCATTTTTTAAATATTTTTTTAAGCTTCTGTAAGTGGTTGTAACTTAAAAAAATTACTTAAAATTCATTGAAAATTCTTTATTTTTTTATGTATGTATGAGTAGGAAGATGACTAACTATAGCTATATATGAATAAAAATAACTGTAAAGACAGCAACAAACTTAGATAAGGAATTTACTTTGCTGCTTTATTAAGAAACTTCTGTTACGTGAACTTCTATTAACGATAGTTTAATATTTTAATAAAACTTTTTTAACAGGTCGACATTTGTAAGTATCGCCAATCATATTGTACTTACTCAAAAGTATGTTAAAATTTTCTAAAAGTACATTATGTGAAATTTGTTAACTTATTTTCCTAAAAAAAGACTTTAAAAGAAAAGGCAGGTTAATTCTAGTTTGTTATTTCGAAGTTTTTTTATTAAATTAAATTAAAAAAGTTAATACAATTTAACACTGCCCTTAACACTTTCAAACTGAAACTGAAAGTGAAAAATCGGACGTATGTAACTCTTCATTATAATAAAATTCGACCTTAACTTCTGCTACTACTACCGTACACTTTCCCCTCAAATCCCGAAATATTTTATTTTACTTTATTTCCGAATCAGATGAAAGTCGACTGAACGTAAATTTGGTTAAATGCAATTTTGGTCATCTTTATCCTCTTTTCCTTTTGTCAACATCACAATGCACTTTGTGCTCTCTTTCCTTTCTGTTCCTTTTCTTCTTTTACCACTCTTTTACACACACACACACAAGTACAGACGTAATAAATTTAAAACTGGTTATGCTAATCGATTGAAATAATATTTGGCGGCTGGCCATTCTTAACGATTTCGTCACATCTTCAGATTGCATAATAAGCAAATTTTAGTTATTTGATTTGATATCGTTTGTTTTTTGTATACGTGCGTTTTTTTCAGATTTCGATTTGCATTTTTAACAAGAAGTTAAGTTGCGGGTCAAAAAACTGATAAAAATGCTTAAGGCCATTTGTGGATGATTTTGAGCACATGTTAAGCCACAAAAACAAAAAGAATTTTTTTTATAAATTTCTTTCACTTTCTAGGTTTCTTAAATTATATTCAACGGTAAACCAACCAACTAACGGTTTGCCAACTTTTTATATTACATGAAAAAACTTTTATTTTGGTATTTAATTTATCTTTTTTTCGGGTTAGCCGGCACTCACTTAATCGATTAATTACCAAAATATGCAAATCAGTTTACTGGATCTTCGAGCATTCTTTTTGTGTCTGGTTCGTTTTATTTCGTTATTTGCTTTTTATTATTTTTATTTTTATATTTTTCGACTGCTTTTCGCCTGAGCTTCGTTTCCCATTGCGTGGCTTTTTTGACATTTGTGACGCAGGCGCAGTCGAGAGTGAGAGAGAAAAAGAGGATTTAACGGACCAAAAAGGCGGGCGTCTCAGCTGTTCCTGTTGATTTCACAGGTTTCGGTGGTTGTTTTTAAAAGAGAGAGGGATTTAGAGAGATTAAGAATGATTTTGGAGAGTGACAGTTTGACAGCTGAGAGTTGCCAGCTGTTAAACAGAGTTGCCTTATTTTTCTCAAAAAATATGAATTAAATCGTTATAATTTAAATTTAAATTAATGTAAGAATAATAAAATTACAATAAAAAGGAAATATTAAATAGGAGCCTATTATGAGAAATAATATAAGTAATAAGAATACCAGACAGATATTATTGACATATCAGAAATATGTTTTAAAATATTTTAGAAAACTAAGATATGATCATGATACAGATATATGTATAATAACCATATAATATATATATATATAAAATTACCAAAATAATAAAGACAAACCTCACATAACCCATTATCTAAATGATGCCTTTAATCCCCATAATACCCCTCCACCTTAATAATTTATTTCCCCATTTCTCAGTCACATCGCCACAATTTATTGTTCGCCAATTTCCGCAATAATTAAACCGAAAACTACCACATATTCCATATGTTCTATGCAATCAAAAGCGAGCAGATCTCGGCGCATGTTTAAAAGTAGCTATTTCCTTTTTGTCGAGAATTTAACCTCGTGCCCTGTTGACCGAATACCAAAAAAAAAACATAGCTTGAACTCTGGCCGATTGGCAGCCGAAGCTGAAAACATGGAGATTGGCCAAAAGAACCCCATAATAAAGTTAGACAATCGCAAATGAATCAACTGGTAGCCTTCGCCAAAAAGCGCGCAAAACCCGTTAGAACCACAGCATAAAGGTGAGTCTATAAAGCTAAACGCCAATCTGAACGTTAACCTATTTCACTTCCTATCGAGAATTCTTGTTTTAACGTCTTACTTCCGGCTGGGGGGAGTTCCGTAAAAACCAAAAGCCGAACGTGTTTTATGCCATGTGTTTATCCGATGACTTGGACTTTATGCTGACTGGCCAATGTTTCCTATGCCACGATGATGATGGCCCATTTGGCCAGAACTGCCTAAGCTTCGGTTGGTGTTATTAATTATGATTTATCTTGACAACAATAAGGAGCTCGATAATTCTTGGCCAAAAAGCATCGAGCATCAAGGCCATCGATTGGCTACCGTAAACAATTTTTAACTCAGTCTTGGGAATCTCATTTGCGATGTGCTAATTGGGTTTTTGCTTCTTAAAGTATTTCTTATATATACTTATATATATTTTCTTGATTTTTTTTGCAGATTTGTATCGCTTGAGGGGATGCTCATTAGGAATAACTTGCTTTTTTCACTTCACAAGAATTGCGTTGTGGAGTTTGTAGAATTCTTTGGGTCTTTTGAGTAACCAATAAAATCTGGTTATATTGTTTGGGGAACAAATTTTCGTCTGGTTATGGTTAAGATCATTTTGGACTTTCATAAGATATTTTTATCGATGACATGGTTGGTCAAGGTGTTAGAATAGGTTTACCTATAAGTTTTTCAGTTCATTTTGAGGTGTTTCTAATGGTTTATTTGGGTAAAAGTTAAGTAAAGTAAAAGTAATAGAAAAATTCAGAAAACTGAAATATATTCTTAGATTTGAGCCGAAAAGTAATTTCTTTTATAGGTTGTAAGTTGATATACTTTTAATATCCTAAATTACTTATATTATAACTTTACTATTTTTATCAGCTTTATCTTTAAGTTATTCCCACTAACCCAGACCAATGACTCATAAGAATTAAAATGTTAACGACTGAATGCTAATTAAAACGTCAAAAACTATCATAATTTTTCACAGTTCTTTTCTTTCTGAATAAATTTGCTAAATTAAAGTTGAATGCTGTTGGCCAAACCAAATCATAATTGCTTCGTTCAATAAATAAATATTTGTAAACCCGACCAGCAACTTCCGACTTCACAGAGTCGCATTCCCAAAGCCCATTGAAGAGAAAAAAAATATATAAAAAATATACAAAAAAGAAACACTAAATCTTATGTGTGAAGCCGAGATGACATTGAATTTTGATTATATTGTCTCTGGCTTTGATATCAATTAACATAAATGCTCGAAAGTCTTATCGTGAACACCTGTCAAGCCCAAAAGCGCTGTAAAATGTTGTAACAAAATCGATCATTATCACAGAGTTGAAGATTTCTTGGTTAAATATTTAAATAAATAAATAAAAGTAATATTGAGCCAATCCGAGATGAGAAGGCGGCTTAAAATAACCATTAAATTCACCCAAAAGTTTATTTATAAACCGGACAGGCTAGCCTTAGCCATAAAACTTTGATTTTAATTGAATTAGTAAACAAAAATCATAAGTGAAAAGGCCATAAAGCCACTGACAATTTTGGCCAAAGGCAGCAGCTATAGTTGGTCAGAAGGTCGGACTTTGAAGTCGTTGATTTGATGAGAGTAGCCTCTAAAAAAAACTTAAACTCCAGACTGAAGTGCACACGTTCGAATTAAATGGCTTGCTATAAGTTTAGATAGTTTGATTTTTATTACTCTTTTTTTTTTTTTTATATTTTTAATGGGCATTGTTTTAAGTTTAATAGCAACTAGAAAACCCGTTTCATTCTAGCTGGTTTTTAAGAAACTTCGCTGAAAATAGAACACTCTCGATTGGCTGCGATTCTAGCATAAAGTTTTTATCTATCTTTTTATCACTTTGATTACCACAAGGCCTGCTATGTGGCTTGATTTGCCGTCTGTTAACTGTTTATTTTGGCCCATTCTCGCGTTTTTTGTTTGTCTCAAATTTTAGCACAACTTGCGGGAGTCATTTGCACAAGTCAAGGTCGTCTTCTCGCATAAATGCCAGATCTAACAGCTTTGAATATTTTTTGGCCTAACATTGAGTTTGCCAACTATTATTTAATGAGGAAGAGTTTTTACTTTTAAATTTAAAAACTTATTAGTCCAGCTGTTGGGTTTTAAGATCATTAATTTCATGGTTTTATTGTTGTTAATTTCCATTTCAATTGCAATTTTGTTGACTTTTTCGTATAGACGAGTGCCAAGCTGAAACATTGTAGGTGTGAAAATTATTGTTTAATGGCGTTAACATTTAACAAACAATAGCTAAAGTTTAAGGAATGACTGTTATTGTTAATTGATGAGTCAAAGTTTGTTTGCAATTTGTTAAAAAAATATTCTTTGTGGATTTTAGGTGATTTTTAACTTTTTGTTTCATATTCTGGCATTGTATTTATGGAATTTTTAAGGCATTCAAATAATAATATTTCTATATAAGATTGTTACCAGAAAACTATCAAATGCTAATTATTATTTAACACTAAAGAAAAACAAATAGTGTAAATTTATAATATTTACTACTTCTTACTTCTTAATTTTTCATTTGTTTTTAAAATTTTTAGCTTAAACTTTGTTTTGTTTTACCCAAAACTGTACCTTAAAAATTTATTTAAATTTTAGTCATGACTAAAAATGCAGCTCTGCTTGCTTAAATTATAGAAAAGACCAAAACAAAATTATAAACAAGTTGTCTAGACATTAACTTTTGAAAAATTAATAACCTGATTTTCCAGCTTAGTGCAGTGATGCCAAAAGTGTTGCCAATAATAGAACAGGCGCCATAATATTTATGCATGTTAAATAGGCTTAAGATTTATATCCTCTAATGCCTATTTAAGATTTATGAGATTTTTTAAACTTAAAATAAATTAGGTTTAAGGGGGAAACCTTGTGGCTAAAGCAAAACTGCAGCCAATGCAAAAATACAAAGCAAAGAGATTGCACTTGGGCGCAGCACTTGAGGAGCATCAAAAGCAATGACCCTCTGAATTTTACACCCTCCACCCACTTTCGTTTTCCTAGCAGCCCCACCAAAGAGCAGAAGGCAGGCCAACCAACTGTAAACGTAAACAATGCCCAATGCGCAGGACCAACTTTTCCGAAACCAAAACCAAATCGTTATCCCATTCCGAATCTGAATCCGAATCCGGCAGAGACAGCTGTGCATCGGAATCGGGTGAAAGCTTCTTGGGCTAGAAGAGGAAAAGCTTCAAGTGAGCAGTCAGTGGATTTCGGCCAATTTAAGCGAGCGGTAACGCGTTACCTTCGAACTTCTTAGCCATAATCTTGGCCAGGTTACGTGTCAAGAAGCAGAAATAACCACTTGGCTAATTGAAAAGGCTAAAGCTCAAGAGTTAAAGTGTCAAAAAATATCTAATATAAATAATTTCTAAAATTAAAGATCACAGTGCTTGCAGTGCATCTAAAAATGCCAGCCCATGTTGGCCAAGTTCTGCCACAAACCAAGCAACAAATCACATTTTGAACCTGGCCAATTGCCAGCTGAGGGAAAGCCACAAAAGCGATAGCAACAACAACCATGTCGAGCGGCAGGTAGGACTCCCCCCAGACCATAATCATTCATATCATATGATATATATATTTGATAGACAGGCATTTCGACCATATCCGATTGTTGTTATGACTGATATTTGTCGTGTAATCAATAAATTGATTTTTGATTGCCATGTGTGTGGGTTTTTTGGCTTCTTCCTTGGTTTCGTTCTTGTTCTCCTCTTTCTTGTTTTGCTGTTGTCTTCTGTCTGCTATTTGCTTTCTTTTCTTTCTTTTTTTTTTTTGTTTTCCTTCTGGCGGCGTCACACTGACTGGCTTTCTTGGTTCTCTTTGCCTTGGTCTGAACGAAATTGGCCGTCCATAGTGCGTATACTTGATGTGAGCTAAGCGGGGATTTCTTAGGAGCTTAGAGTGCTAGGAGTGCTTGGAGGGACTTTAAAACTAATAAAATTTAATGTTTAATTAAAGTTAGATTGTATTTTTTATATTTGAAAAGTTTGTAGATGAGGAAAGTCAACTTTCTTAAGTTAAAATCTTTAATTAATAAAATTTTTTGGACTTTCAAAGCCAAAAAATCTTTAAACAATTCTAACCAAAGTCCATCTCCAGCATTTATTTTTCATAAACAACTTTATCACTTTTTAAATCAAATTTTTTATTATTTTCCCCACTCAATTATTCCCAATTTATCTCACAAATTCCTTGGAATTTCACATTTATTCTTTTATTCAAATTATTTCATCATGACTAAAAAAAATGACTTGTAATGGGGGTTCCCCCATTTCCACATAAACCTGTTCCAGTTTGTACTATTTTTTTGGCTTGTTAGCCACGCGTTTTACTAACTGAAATCCCACACTGGCAGAGACAAAATTCAAACGACAGAGACAGGCAAATTGAGCTGACGTGCTGAGTTATTTATTTATTTATTTACTTTCGCAATCGCTTGGACTATTTTCCGATTAAAAATAGAGGCAAATTGCTTAGGAAAATCGAGAAAACTTCGTTAGAAGAATTTGGTTAAAATGACACCCCCTTATTATTGGCAATCCCGGCAAGGCCAAAGTCAGTGGCCTGCCAGCAGCTAGTCATGTAATTAGGATAATCGAGCTGCTTAAAATATGCACGGAGAGTCCACATAATTACAATCAGCGGAAAATTGGCTCTGTGAAAAGTGGCGATGGGGTGGAGAAATTGCGATGGCTGGCTGTGGGGAGCTTCAATTTCAATGGCGTAAGAGGATATCCCCGAAGAGCACACCAGCCAGCCAGCCTGTGAGTCATGGCATCCGAGAGCTGGCCAAAGCCACACAAAACAAACAGCCAAAGTCTCCACTTACCACATTTCATTATCCTTTTTACAGGGGAAATAAAGTTGAGAAATTTGTTAATTTACTTTAAAATACTTTCCCTAAAAATGCCTTTTAATTTAACTTGATTTATGTAGATTTTTTTAAGATTTTGTTGTGTTTAAAATTAAAAAAAAATATTCAAGAAGGCCTTAAAAAATGTACATAGTATTTAACCTTTTTTAATTTATTTTTTATTATATTTTTCCACTTTAGTTTCCTTTTCTCTCAGTGTAATCCCTCTCTCGCATTGTCAGCTTGGCGCCAAAAAATTACAGGGCCAAAAAAATGCATGTTCCTTTTTGTCCGTGTGTTTGTACACGTGGCTGTGGTTACAGTTGCGGTTTCGAGGACCTTTCCATTTGCTTATTTGTATGGGTGTCTAACCACAAAAGTCATATCCTGGCAAAGGCTACAGAGGCGAGAGAGGTGACAGAGTCATCACGTCTATTTGATTATGCATGCAGGCAAATGCAGTTTTTGGTTTAAAATTCTGAGGGAAATATTTAAAGAGGGTTTCTTCTTGAAAAGTTAAAAGTTAAAAAGGAAACAAAGAACTTAATTAACTTTTTGTTAAAGGAAAAACCCCTGAAAAGGGGAACAAACTCTGTAAAACTTTGATCTAATAATAATAGCTTTTTCGTGGAAATTATCCAAGTGCTAATGCCCAAGTAAGCTAGCCATCAACTCTTCTTTAAATATTGAAATAAACTCCCGTATAAAAAGCTCATTATGAGACACCCGTCTTAAATTGACCAAAACCACTTGGCATTCTGACCAGAAACACTAATTTTGTAGCTGCAAAAGCAAAGCCACAATAAGAACCAGAGAAGCTTTAGAATAATTTGCACAATTTCGTATTCATTAGAGCACAGATGCTCTCAGGCAATTTAATTTAATTTTCCCCATTCCTCGTCCTTGCAGCCTCCTGGACGTTCTCTGCAGTGGTAGTGGCGCCCGCCTGGCCCTGGGCACCTCGGTGATCTCCTATCTGATTGTCTACAATGAGGCATCTGCTCCCAGCCTGCTGGTGGCCGTTATTCTGGCCACCATCTATGGCACTATGGCGGGTGAGAATCGGTCTTATATATACTATTTATAAATATTATAAACTAATTTTGATGTCTTTTTCAGGTCGTTGCAAAACTAGCCTGCGCAGCCTGCAAATGCCGTATGTGAGGGCCACGAATAAGTTTGACTTTGGCTGTTTGTTTTTGGCCATCTGGCTGGATGCCCTGGCCGCCATGTGTGCCTGTGCTGCCCTGGCCAGGACCCTCAGTGCCTGTTTGGATGCCATGACTGGGGGTCTGGCAAGGATACTAATATTGGGTGAGTGGCAGGAGAAGTTTGAAAAAATCGAAAATATATTTTTGTGCTTTTACTTTTCCTTTGGAATTTTCACAAAACAAATTAAATAGTGAATTTCTAAAAATGTTTTACAGAAGCCATACTATTTCTGTAATGCCCCAGGCCAGTGTAGTTGCTAAAATTACTTTTTGCAAAATAAAACTAAAACAAATCAAAAATAACAAAAACTAAAAATAGTTTTAAAAAACCAAAAAAGAACCGCGAAAACATGCAATTTCACATATTTCCGTGCTCTCAAAAGCTAGCCAATTTGCACTTAATAACAGTACTAAAAATATAATTTATAACTACGCTTCAAATTTGCATTTAAAATATAAAAAAATTAAATTTTTATTCACCAACGTAGACCAAGCATACCCAATATTTCGACACGAACTGTGTTGGCTAAGCTGAATAAAAAACATTGCCTACTTTCAGGCCGTAATGCACCCGCGAATGAGCCCTGGCCGGATGTTCTTGGCGTGTCAGTTGTCTTCCTCGTAACTGGGATGTTCATGCTGGGCTTGGAGGTGGGTACTCTGAATCTGAATCTGAATCTGAATCCAAATCCAAATCCTCGACCCCCCACCCCCACTCATCTAGACACCCGTACTCATTGCATTAACATATTCACAGCACTCGAGAGCCTTCAGCCTCATCCTGACACTCGGCATGTTTGGCTTGAATGCCATTTTGAGCGCCGTTGGCTGGTGGCGGGGCGACATGTTGGCCTGGTCTACGGAAAACTACTTCCAGCCCGATGGCATTACCAGTGTAAGTGGATGCCCCTGCCATCTGTTGGGGAACTTTGTTATTGGGTCAGTGCACTGTGCCAGTCTGAGTTTTTCTTTTGTTTAGAGGGTTTCCCTTTTCCCTTTTTTTTTGTTTGTTATTTGTTTGCCGAGTCCCATCGATTTTCGTATGTCGTGACTGGGAACAATTGCGTGACCAGAGCTGAAGCCACAGGATACGGGCTTTTGATTATGACACGTACTGGCGTTTCGTTTCGTTTTTGTGCCCCCTTTTCCACACCGGCATTCCTTGGTGGAAAGCCACCAGTCAGACAGCAAAAACTCGGAAAAAACGTAGGTTTCCATTGAGCCGCATAAGGTGATACTCTTGAATGGTGATTGTATTTTTATTAGGAACTCTTTACGACTTTTTTAGATTTTTAAACATGTTTTGGGAGATTTTATTAGTATCCCTTTGTGGAAAACTATAGAAATATTTTTAAATTTTCTTAAAAAGAAGCTTTTAAAGCTGAAAATTTTAACTTTTACTGCTAAAACTTTTAATTTTATGGTAAATTTTTTAATAAAAGCTAAACCTTATCCAATCTTAAAGACTCAAAAACTTTTTCATAGTCCAAACACCAAATGGTAGACTAAGGGAACTTCTGTTATTAGCTTAGCTGCTACTTGTGAAATTATCCGGCTAATAACTGGTTTTAACCCACTACCTTTAGGTCTTCCTGGCCACTGCCCTGCTCACCTACTCCTTCCCCAGCGATTGGCCACAACCACATCGAAGTGGACGATTTACGGCGACCTTAATCATGGGATTGGTCAGCATTTCTCTACTGCTGACAGCCATTTGTCTCTCTACGGTGGTGCACTACAAGTGAGTTTGATAATGAGATAATCTTTGGACTTTTAACAAATTTAAGTACGCCTATCTATTACTGAGAAAATGTATTTTAAATCGTGATTTTATAATAGAAAATACATTAAGTTTTGGTTGCATTTTTGGAAATTTAACATTAAGTTTGCTTAGCAATAGTTATTTCTTATTCCTTAATCTTAATATTTACTGAATATAAAGATACAACCTTTCTATATACTTTCAGAACCCATGAGGACTATGTAGCCGTGCCCTTGTTCAACATCCTAGATGAAAATGGCTTCCATAAGTTGGTACCAGCCTCGGCTTGTATGTTGCTGCTAACAAGTTCGGCGGCATTTCTGGAACTTTTCCCAGAACTTTATGGCATAGTGGTGCGTTTGGCCACCTCGGAGTGGCGGATACTATCCAAGCAGATTAGTTACGAAAGCTCGGAGAGTGGAAATCCCGTCCTGGCCGTCTTTATAGCCGGCAGTATGTGCGCTATGTTGGCCTTTGCCTGTCCGTTGCAGCATCTTAGTTACACTTTAGCCGCTGGTCATATGGGTGGGGTATTCTTGAGGGCCTTCTATCTTCTGTACACCCCCTACAGACCCAAGTTTATGGCGCCCAGCAGCGAGTCTTCACTGTCGTACAGTCGTCTGTCCACAGCACCGATAGCCAAGAGCAGCAGTTACAGCAGTGCCGCAACTTCCAGTTCGAGTAGGTTAAAGAGGAGTCTCTGGAAGATTGGTCTACCCAAGCATAGTGGGTTGAAGAAGCCCAAGACAAAGCCTAGGAATAAGCAGGAACTGGAGAAGGAGTGGCTGCTGCTGGGTGAGCCCACATCGCCGTGTCCGCAACGGGAGGGCAGGGATGTGGAGTCCACCATTCTGTCTGATGGCGAGCCACCGGTGAGGATTTTTGGAAAATATTTATCTTTATCTTAAGTTTGATATATCTCTTCCCTTTAGCCATCTGACTTTGAGTACCCAGATAAGTTTGACAAGAGCGATTCGGACACCTCAACGGACATAGACGCCATTGTGGATGAGTATCGGGAGAAGATCAAGGTGAGGAAAGACTCCTAAGCATATTTTGGCATCCCAAAATTATACATTTTCCCCTTCCCAGGTAACCACAGCTGGTCCCTTGGAGCGCAGTGTAAGAGTTCCCACAGTGAGCTCCTGGCGGGTAACCATCTTTGCCATTGTGGTTATAGGATTGGGCATAGCCCTCTGCATTGCTGGTCTGATGATGCACTGGGCTCCAGCTGCCTTAACCGGAGGAATCGGGGTCTTTATAGTGACTATAATGATGGGTTTCATACCCAAGTACACGGGCAGTGTGATCAACGTGAGTCCCGTGATCTGTGGAATGTCCCTGCTGATGGGCGTGATCCTTTTCACCGGATGTGCCGTGCATTCGTGGCCAGGATTGATTATCTGGATGATGGCTGGACTCATCCTGGTCATTAGATGCGATAAGTACTGCTGCAATTGCTTTGAGCACACGACCATGCTGAATGCCCAGCTCATACCGAGTGTCTCGGGGAAAACCAATGGAGGATCAGCTACGGGATCCTCATCGAACTTGGCTGGTCCTTCCACCAGCATTCGGATACCCAGACCGCCGAAGGGAGTGGGCGTGGTTGGGTTGCCACAGCGCATCAATGGCCATAGATGACAGTCGGAGTCCTCGGAGGAGGAGGGCGAGGACCTGTTCCACGAGGACTTCAATGTGCGCGACTTCGATGAGGAGGATGACGAGGATTGCTGGACTGATTAGCTTGCCGCCTTTGGAACGAAAAACGTTTTTAGGAAAAACTATTTACTTGCTATGCAGATAGATCTCCGAGATGATCATCTAGCTTCGAGCCACATTTGCCTGAAATTTTCTAGCTAGCTAAAAATGTTTGTCGAAATTTACCCATGTATTTACGTATAGCTAGGCGACACTCTCTACAACTAGGTTCCAAATAAAATGCAAATTTTTCGAAAACAAATAAGAAATCTTTTGATATTTAACAGAATTTTTATAAGTTTAAAGGTCAACGAACGGTATGAGAAAGCTTTAGATAAGATTCCCTTTTATCTACAGATAAGAAATCTGCTTTCTTTGCTATATAAATCTTCATTCTCCATGAGATAATCTATCAGTTCTTTAATAGGCGACATTATGGTCTCTTCGTAGCCAGGTTGTATCTCCATAACCCTTAGTAACAGCTCACTGCGATCGCAGTTAAGATAAAAATCAAACTTTTCAGGTTCTTCCGTTCGCAATCTATTCGAAATGCTGGGCCACATTTTGGTCTGCGGTTCGGTGAGAGCCCAAATGAGAAGAGCTGCCAATCGCGTTCTTTGGCATTCTTTCAAGAAGTTCTCTCTGGTGATGAGATTCCCATCCAATCCTAAACGATCTAGATGGTATTCAAGGGACTTATAATAGTGATCAAGACACTCGTCGTATATCTTCTTCCTGACCTCAGCAGAGGCTACGATGTAGAGTAGAAATAAGACATCTAAGGTAGGCGAACAGTATTTGGCCAGCTGAAAATCCACAAGGCAACAGGCATTGGGTAGAATTGAAGACTCCTTTTCAAAATGATACAGGATATTGCGGTCCCAGGTATCCCGATGGCACAGCACATTCCGTATGGTCTTCGAAGGTGCCACCAATTCTTCAGCTTTGGTTAGAAGATTGTAGAGCTTTTCTTGGATAAAACTTTGAGCTGTCTTGGTTTGATATTGCGGATGTCGAGAGGCTAAGAAAACAATGGCCTAGGAATATTTTTCAAAAATATTATTATTAAAGTTAACTACTTTTACTGCATACTAACCTTAAGTCCTGTGATGTACCAAGAATTTTTCGCATCCAAATGCAGTTCGATGAGAACATTTTTGTAATTTTCATAAATATTTAAATTTTCTTTTTCTTCCCAAGCTATACTAGCAGCATGCAGTTCAGATAAATGTTCCAAAACCAATTTATAATGATCCAAGCTATAGCTTTCCTTAACCCTAAGATGCCTGTAGTTTTGAGTAAGATCTTCCAGGACCAGAATGTCATTTCTACTATAGTAGCATTCGGGATAAAGCTTTTTGCTGGCTAAAACGCAGATTTATATATTTAAACTTTAATTTATTTATAAATTTATTTATTTAATTACCATATTTCTGAATTTTTGGCAATAACTGGCTGTATACTGCCGATTCCTTATGGAAAACTCCTTTGCGTTCACATTCTTCTCTTTGCGGTTCATTTTTCCGAGGTAAACTTTTGATAAAATATTTCAGTGAATATTTTACCTGCTTTTCTATATCTTCCACTTCTAAGAACAACTTGTAATACTCTCCCATGTAACCCATTAGATCCTTAGAGCCCGCCTCCAGCTGAGAGTTAAGCACTATCAGATTGGTCTTGTCCACCTCTAAAAGACTTTTCTGAGCTATGAGTAGACATTCCTCGGGGTTGAGGAAATCCATGAGGAGTCACCAGGTGCTATTCACTTGACTTCTAAAATTTAAATAAAATATCTTCAGAAGCTGACCCTCGAAGATAGCTTTTGAGGGGTAAGACAGCAAGATAATCTTAAAAGAAGGTAAATAAGATAGTTGCCTCTTGTTGCTCTCATAGAAGTTGGCCTTCCTTTAAGTTATATGCTACTTAATCTTCTTACTTAGTTTATAATTTATAACATAATAAATTACAGTTTTCTATTTCACAATAATTCGATTATTATCAGAGCCAAAGCATATTTTATAACCCAAAAATGATAGCAAATCAACCAAAAAAGTGAATTGACCCTGAAAAGCTAACTAACAGACCTTCAGCGATAAGATAACCCCCTGAGAGGAGAGTAGAGATGTGTAAACAGAGAGCACATAGAGACCAAAACTGATAGGATCACGATTGTTACCAGGGGAACAGAGGAAGATAGTGGTTGCCATACAAAGTCGTTTAATCAGTTTCGTTTGTGATATGTCAGGGCTAGCAGATCCCCAACACACTCGTACATATAGTCAGCAAACTCCGGATGATCATTCATCAAGCGCAAAAGCTCATCTGTACGATCCACATTGCAATAGCTATGAAAGTCCTTGGGACGGGCATCCTTCAGGTTTTTCAGATAATTCCCAGGTAGACGCAGGGTGGTGGCTGCAATGCAGTTGTAGGTAACTCCAAATAGAGCAAAGTCCTTCAGAGATTGCTCAAATTCCCCTTGACTTAGCTGCTCCTCGTTGGGATCAATGCCCATTGCTAGCAGTTCCTCAGACAAGGCCTTGTAATACGTCTGTATCAGACTATCCAACATCTTTTTGCGTTCCGAAGGTGCCAGATTAAGATAGCTAACCAGGTGAAAGTCCATAGCAGGTGGAGCATATCGGCAGAGTTGGAAGTCTACTAGAACGGACCTTTTATCCAGGGGCTCATCCTTGTGATAGAAGACATTGGCACCCCAGGCATCGCGATGAACAAAGACATTTCTGTGAACTGGTGAAGGATTAACCATATAGTAAACCTTGTCCAGGCATCTGGGCAGCTCCTTGGCTATGTATTCCTGGGCTTTGGTATCATTCAGGACTTCAGGATGTGTGGCAGTTACTGCCAAGACAGCCTAAGTAAAGGAAAACTATAAATTAAGAAGGAAATTCCTTTAATAAACTCCAACTTACCCTCAAACCCGTTGTATACCATTCAACATCTGGGCTCACAGTGACTTCTTTGAGCCACTCTCTTATTTCCACTCCTATGGTTTTTCCCTCCTGCTTTTCATAGGCCATACTGCTGGCATGCAAAGTGGCCAGGGATTTCAAGATGGGCCCCAACTGATTCTCACTCAGAAAGCGAGTTCCCGAAGGTAAAGCCACATAGCCCATGTCCTCCACATTTTGCATCACAAAAAGATCGTTTCTTGTGAAATAGCACTTGGCACACCAAACATGGGGAGCTGATATATTAAACTTTAAATATTTAAACTTGAAAAACTAAAATCTAAACTCACAAAACTTGGTTAACTTGTTCAGCAACTCATACAGCTTAATCTCCTTCTCGATGATGCCCAACTTCTCCATATAGAACTCCATATTGGCATTCTGAAAGATCACCGACTTGACAAACAAGCGAGTGGTTTGCACATCTTTCTGATCACCAAACTGATACTTGAGATGCAAGTGATAGTATTCACCGAGGAAACCCACATGCTCTGTGGCTGGGACTATGTTAAATTCAAGTAACACCGCCTGCTCTTTCTTATCGGTTAACAGATTTGATAAAATCTCTTTGCACTCTTCTGGAGTAAACAGCTCCGTTCGATTTATTCGCGTTAGAATGGGCTTATAGTGTTCGTCACTCATTTCGTATAAATCTGCAATCACCAATTAACAGCTCGGGTGTTTACTTTATACTGCTTTCAGTTTCTGTTGGCCTTTGATAATTATAGTAAGAGGATTTACTCTATAAGAGGGGGGTATAGTTATTTACTCAAGAAACTTAGTAGAACTAAGTAATCTTCTCAGAATATTCCTTGATTATTATGAAATTATAAACTTAGATACATCAAATCTAAAGTATTAGTAATGAGTTTTAAGTATCCTTAACATTATCATACCTTAACTTCCTTATAATAGGTTAATTTAAAGAGTATTTACTTTTATCATATTTATTTTTATTTTTTTTTTTGGTATATTTACAATGATGTCTTATCACCCTAGCGAGCGGCTTTCTTATCGGCAGACCCACTAAACAAGATTCCCTCACATGTTTGCCCTGGCCAAGGCCATTTCCATGACATCCACACAGCACTCCTCCATATAGTTCCTGAACTCTTGATTAGTATCCATATAAGACAGAATCACCTTACTGCGATCCACATACTTAAAATCGTTGGTAACAAACTCAACAGGCACCTTGACAACCGTGGCGGCCACAGCCCTATAAACCACACCAAACAAGCGAAACTCTTCATAGGACTCTATTAGCTCTGATTTGGAAATTGCTAACTCGTTAAGATTGAAATCAGAGAGATTTTCCAGCAGATATAGGTGATATAAATCTATGCATTTCCTTTCCATTTCCTTACGTTTCATGGAACTCAAATTCATGTAGAGACTAAAATTCAAGTCTGAAGCTGGGGGAGTGTAACGACAGGTCTGGAAATCGATTAGCAAGGCAGAGCCAGAGTTTTCTGGTGGATAGAAAATATTACCCGCCCAAAGATCACGATGGCAAAGGACATTTCTGTACTTTTTAGAAGGAGCTGCCTGCTCATAGATCTCCTCCATTATGTTCAAAAGTTTGTTATCGATAAAGGAAAGTTCTCTATTACCCTGATATTGGGGCAGACTTCTTACGGCAGCCAGTACAGCCGAAAGTCCAGTGGTGAACCAGGCTATTTCCGAAGCCACAGTGATCTCTAGCAAATGATTACCATAGGCTTGGCCTATATTGATGTTAGTTTGATGTTCGTAGATCAAACTTGCAGCATGAAAGGCTGCCATTGATTTGATAAGCTGTTGCAAGGAAACTTCATTGAACTCTGCAGAACCAGCTGCTTGGAAACCCTTTCGTTTGATGTCCTCCAGGACAATTAAGTCCTTGCGAGTGTAATAGCAATCTGCGCTCCATTTTATGTTGGCTATAAAGGGATTTAAGGTATAATTTTTATATTTTATTTGTAAATATTTACTTACACAAGTGTCTGCATTTTCTTGAGGATATTATCATAAGCCCAGGACTCTTTTTGGAATATCTCTTCTTTAGCCAATTCGCCGCTTTGCTGGGGCATGGCCTTTACAAAGAAGTTCATTTCCCTAGCAGGTTCATCTGCCTCCTAAAAGTAGGCCCCAAAATACAGAATTTCAAAGTCATGTAGAAAAAATGTAGAAAAGTTTTTCAAGCAACTGAAAGTGGTTATCTTTTGATTTTTTCAATTAATCACTTCCAAGGCGATTGATTAATGGAGGTCAAACAAATACTTAATACAGTAAAAACTGTAAAATTCAGAGTAGAGATAAGAATTTAATGACAAATTTGTACAGAATGAGACTATTTTTTCCCAATTAATAATTACAAAAGTATTTTTAAATATAAATTCAAAATAATCAGTAATGAAATCGAAACAAATACTCGAAAATATACTATTGCATTACCTAAACTATTTTTAGTTAAAAGTTTTGTGAAGGAAGTAATCTTTACACCCCGAAATCCCTTAAGAGACTCTAATAACTTAATCTAAAAAACCGATAAAAAGGGAAAAGTGTGTCTAACCATTAAAAGATAGTGATAGAGTTATCTTTTCTAATCATTTTATGGAGATCAACATTGTAACATAAGTCTTAAGATAACCCAAAGACTTTGTAAGGTCAATGTCTACTTACACAGGAGTACCTAAGAGTCAGTTCATAGTAATCGCCAAGATAGCCGATTGCACTCGAATCTCTAACAAAACTGTAGTCCAACAGTTTGGCTTTTCCGTTGCCGTTATCGGCATTTTCCAATATTATCTCGCACTCACGGCGGCTAAGCATTATGTTGCGTATACGTAACGTGGGCGTTTTACGTATACGTTCGATCTTATTCTTATTCACGCTCTCTCTCTCTCTTTTTCCTAGACAGAAGACTAGGCTGATACGATTTTCCCGACACTTTCCACTCAGCCAACTATAGCAGCATCTGTTGGCCGCGCACTACTGAGAAGAAATAGTTTTTCGCTCAGTTTTTATTTTCTCGCGATTACAACTCTCCTTTACCTGTAGTAGTAAAACTAATTCACATATCTGAGCGATAAGGTTCTTGATACAGCGCAATGGGATAAAGTGGAGAAAAAATGTTTAAAAATTTGTATTTATTAATAACTCAATTTATGATTTATTAGTTTAAAGCTGAATTAGCTTTTATTTAAGAAACTTTTATTTAATGAAATCTCTTAGGCAAAATCAATCTCTTGAGGCGACGTTTCTCATTCATGTATGTGGTATAAGGACGAATGGTGATGTAGTAAAAAATCTCCACAAAACTGAGAAGACTGGCGCCCACAAACAAGCCAGTGGTGCCGCCAATAGATACTAGGAAAAAGAGGTCTTTTTTAACAAAAACTATAATTTTTAATAAGCTCCCTAACTCACCAACCAAATCCAATTTGCCTCTAACCAAGTTCCTTTTATACCTCTCCGTTGGCAGTTCAATGAGTCCAACTTCAATTCTGGAGACTGCCATCTGACTTCCAACCATGTTCTCCTTGCTATCATAGACCGTTGTAATATCCACCTCCGTACAAGAAGGCAAACAGTCACAAACCAAACCCTTTCGACCCCGACTTTTCGACCATTTGGCTATGATCACCGAAAGATCTTCGTAATTGCGATTCAGACACTCCAGACCATCCATGTTGCATAGCTGCCAGTCGGGTGAGTTGGGAGACAGGTGACTGGAGCAGTTGCACAGCTCCATCTGCCGATCCTTGCGGCACTGGACTGTGCAGGCACTATAGCTATAGAACTTGTGGACATCTAGAATATTCTCATCGGCAAAACGGCAGTTCCTCTGATGGACACTCGTCTGACGGATCTCCTCGTCGTTTTCAATGTCACGCTTGGAGATGTAACGTCTAAAGTAAAGATTTTTATATTTTATAGGTTTATATTTCTTTTTGTGTGCTTACACAAAGGATATATAAGGTCCTACTACTAGGAAATCCGTTTTTGGGGTGACTAAGGTGGGCACCTCTTCAGTGCCAAGTATGTAAACCTTTTAAAAGATGAAAAGACTTAGTTTAGAAAACCAAAACTAACGTGCAGTTAAACTTAATGAAGCTTGTCAATAATTGTAGCATACTTTTTAGGCTGCAAAGTTAATAGTCTTGAAGTTCCTTCATACTTTTACTGATTTTATTTATATTTAAATTTCATAAAGTAACTTGAAATAAACGTAGTAAAAACTCACCGTTGCCTCGGTATGCAGTTCCATTTTCAGAGCTCCTGGCCCACTGTCCCTGTTAGAATACATATTCAACTTGGCATTTTTGGGTTTCCTAAAAGTGTATAGAAAATATAAGATAAACTTCTTAAGAATATAATTTAATAGATATATAGCCCCCACCCATCTTGCAACGAATTGATGGCATAACAAATTCCCAGCTCCGTTTCCATGCGATGAAAGTACTTGCAGCACTCAAATGGCTTATTATTCCATTCGCAGTTACTGATTGAGTCCACGCAGCTGCTTCTAACTAGTTGAGCGTAGTACGAGAAATTAGAGTAGAAACATGAGGTAGTTGCCTCCTCGCCGCTGCACTCATGGACTGTGTGATATGATTCGCCGCGAAAGAAGGCAATCTCACTAAGGACCTCCTCTAAAGTAAAGTCGTGATCAGAGCCCCAAAGTCTGGTATAAAGTTTATACTTTAATTTAGATATTATTTTTAGGGATAAGATTTAAACTTACTGTTCAGCCACCTCCTGTATGCGATCCATATTCTTCGATTCGCAAACTATAATAGCTGGAAAGTTGGTATTCCAGTCGCGAAAAGAGCTCTCCACCACAAAACTAATGGCATTGTTCTCAAAGGCACCTGGAAAATAACATTTATTAATGGAAAAGTTCAGAAAATCTTGGGATTTTCTTGAATAACTTACTCAAAGAGGCTTTGATCAGCAACCAGGAGGCATACCAGGAGGCCACTAGACATATAACCCAAAAGATTCTTTCTAGCCAATTGGCATCTTTATCCACTATAAACCGAGCTCCATGCAGAGTGGAGTTCTTCAGATACTCCTCTATAATTCTGCTAAATCTCATTTGGCTTGTGTTTACTTTGAAGTCCAGTCGGTAACTAATTTATTGAACTATTTCAGCTCAAACTATAACTCCCATTAATGACCAAATTTGGTTATCCATCTTGCTTAACGCCATCAGCTGTTGATTTTCCCAGACTTCTAACACGCAAGTGTCCGGGAATTAGATCAACATTTGCCTAGGGATTACTTTTAGGCGAAATAAACACTGTTTACCTCATACAAATAATGGCTCAAGTCACAGTTTATTTGATTAGCTCACCGAATCGGGTTTATAGTTATATCTTATGAGTTATATCTTTCATAAATCCTGGTAATTAGTTGCCAACTGGGAAGTGTGGGCAGCGTAAAGAGTGCTATCGCTCAAGTTTGTATTAGATATAGTAGCAAGTTTAACTCATATGACGTCTAAAAGTTACTTTATATATGAAAATATGTAATTTTATATCAACTTTTTTTTTTAGTATTTTTAAGTCCAAAGTTTCATGATTTTTTAAGAGAATTGTTATAGATTACATTTTAATCATTACGATTTCATCAAAGACTTTTCGCTTTCATCAGGCAAACACCTGATTGGTCATACCCCCAAAAGCTGACCCCTAATTTCTTGATCCGCCGTCTAGGCTAAAAGTAAATAAACGTGAAGTTAAGTTAACGCTTTCTAGATGGCTTTTTCCCCTAGTTAGAAGATTGTGACTTTATCTGGGGACAAATTTACAGCAGTCTGTAGAGAAAGTCGCACAATGGAGAGATATAAAAGGTTAACGCCATCCGGAGAACTCCAAACAGTAGATAGACTTCGAGATGGCAACCGCCTTGGAACTGAGTCCCGTCGAGATTCGCGGCCTGTGCCAGCGTTACTTCCATCTGGATATACCCAACTCGGATACGGGCTTCGATATAGTTAGCTATAAGCTAAGACCCACCTCGGATGCTCCAGCTGGATATTTGGGTAGCCATTTCTACCTGCAGGTCACCCTGAAGCTACACAGTTCCGAGGAAATCAAACAGCTGACCTTCTTCTCGAAGGCCGCTCCCGAGGGTAATGGCCCACGAATGGAGTACCTCGAGGATTTCGGAGTCTTTCAGAAGGAGATCGCTGTCTATAAGGACGTGCTTCCCGATCTTCAGAAAGCCTGCGCTGAAGTGGCACCCAAATGCTATTATGCGGATAAGAATCTTTTGGTCTTCGAGAACCTGGCAGATCAGGGTTATCGAATGGGTGCCGGACGAGATGGTTTACTGTCCTACGAACAGCTCCATTGCTGCCTGAAGACCTTGGCAGCCCTGCACGCAGGTTCTATTATTCAAGAACAGAGAACGGGACAAAAACTAACCGAATCCCAACCCAAATCGGTGGTGGAGAATGCCTATCCCAGTAATGTGCCACCAGAACATCTCCGGGTTGTTAACTTTACAAATGCCTGCCTGGTCATCAAGGAGTTTATCAAACTGATACCCAAATATCAGATAAAGTTGGACTATATCCTGGAGAACTTCACCAAAAGAATGACCTTTATCTTCGAGGCTGCCAAGACCTCTGAAGTCTATCAAAATACCATACTCCATGGCGATTTGTGGGCCAACAACATCATGTTCCAGTATGGCAAATATGGCGAGAGTCCTCTGCAGTGTCGTCTTGTGGACTTCCAGTTGGCCAGATATGCTCCACCAGCGCTGGATGTCTTGACCGTTCTAACTATACCCACTTCGAAGGAGTTCCGAGATCTTCATATGAACGAACTTCTGGCTGAGTATTACCGCTTTATGACGGAGTTCTTGAAGCGCGCTGGCTTGGATATAGCTCGTTTTATGCCTGAGTCTAGTTTCTATGAATCTGTGGAGAAGTTTCGAATAATTGGCCTGATTGAGAGCTGTTTGTTCTGCCACTTGGTGATGCTGCCACCTTCCTGCACCCAGAAACTAACCAGTTCTGCTGATGGCTTCAGTGACTTCTTCAGTAAGAGGAGGATTGAAATCTGCCTGGAGGCCTTTAACACGGATGAGTTGTACAGGAATCGAATGCTGGACATGATTCAGGACTTTGTGGATAATTTTGTGTTAAAGGAGTAAAGTTTGAATTATATTTTGAGCTTCCTGAAGAAAGCAGAAAACTGCTTGATTGTAAATATTTTATAGTTTAAGAAAAATGTGAACAAGTGCCTGTTTTATCTTTAATAAATATCAAACTAATAATAGAAAGTGCTTTACTACCTTACTGCTAAACCTTTTATGCTGGAAATTAAGTAAATAATTTTCTAAAATTTAATTACAGACCCAAAACTTATAGAAGCATATACCTCAACCCCAGCTTTGCTCAGCTTTTGTCTTATGCTTCGTTGAGTTTTTGATTTCATTTTCGTTTGGCCTCTCTTTTCTTTCAGTTTTGAAAACTTTCAAGTTGTGTCCGAAACCTGCCTCGGACAGTCTCTGACTGTTGGTTAACTTAAACCTAAACTCAGTTGCCAATTGGCCGCGTTCAAATCAACATCTGTTAGCGGCTTAGCTCCCAGTGGCTTTTCGGTGCTTAAAAGTTCAAAAAAATACGTAAACTGTTTTTGCAAATATATTTTAAGCGAGTTAAAAAATAAGTACAAAATGTGAGTTTGAGTATTGTTGTGAAAGAATTGTATTGAGAAGTGTGTTGAATAATTAAATAGTTAAACAAAAATATTTAAGAAATTTTAAAAGTGGTTTTAGTTAAGTGAGAAAAATGTTATTTATACCAAGAAAACGTTTAAAGGGGTTATTTAACAACGTTCTTAATGTTTATTTCTATTAAATTTTAAAATAAATATTTAATACTAATGTTTAAGAAATCATGCTATATACAGAAAGATTATTTTGCATAATTTTAAGAAAGATCCCCCAGTCAGAAAATCTTACATAATTTCCAAGCACGAACAAAACTATGATCCCGGCACATAATTTAAAAATTCGCTGCGGTTGCCACCCAAAGAGGGGCTGAAAACTGTGACAAAAACTATTCATACCACAACAAACATTCAACAAAAAACAACAACAAAAACACCCATAAACAACTTGACCTATCACAAGAGCAGCAGCAGCAACAACAACAATAGTCTAAAGTCGGCAACATTGACTGACAAGCATAAAATCTTAAAAAAAAAAAAGCCCAAACTCAACACATAATTTAGTTTAACGGTCACGTTTTTTTAACAAATGCACAAAAATGTCCAAGAAAAAAGCGTTGCTAAAAACCAAGACGAATTCATGAAAAGCAGCTTCAAATAATACCCAAAAAAAAAAACCGAAAATAATAACAATAATGCAATAAACAAAAAAAAATGAAAACTGAAAAATATGTTGGGATTGTCATGCTGGGCAGTACTTTCAATTAACCCGCGCGAAGACCCAAAACAAATGCCAAATGCTTTGGCCACTTACGCCATTTGGCTAATAAATATCATCCACAATGACCGCATATCAATATTGACCACATATCTTGAAAAGGGGCGTGGCATGGGTGTGTTCAGGTGGGCGGAAATGGGGGTGTTACATGACGATAGTACGTGATCAAAAGAAAAAAGTGACACAGTTTTTACAGTAGCGTTTTCTTATGAAATATGTAATTGGACTTTATTGAATACTAAAATTTATTTAAGGTAATTTATAAGTGTTATTTATAAGTTGGGAAATATCAAGGAATCAAGGTTATATCATAAAGATTTTAATAAAAATATTATATATATATCTAATAAAGATTTTCTGATTTATAAAAGTAAAAGGAAAAATGGTTTTAGAATCATTTTCTTTACTTCAATCTTTTTAAGCAACCTTTTTAGCTTATAAAACAAGATTTGAAATATTTAAAAAATATATATTAAAAGGCAGTTTTACATAAATCTAAACCTTTTAAATCTTTGTCAAAACCAAGCTAATTAAAGCCACTTTGCTAAGCACCTTCAACATAATAGCTTAAAACTATTTTAATGGCCATATTGCAAAAGGCCTTTAAAGACAATATTACAAAGAATAACATGTAATACAAGATGCTTAATTAAAAAACTTCATGGGGGAAATGAAATGTGCATAAAATAAAGAGGAAACGGGAAAGGGAAAGGGGAAGGGGAAGACAGCCATCCTCGGCGACGGCAACCTTGAAACGGTTTTAAAAAAAATGTTTACACTTTCGAAAATTAACGATCACTTTTGCCGGCCTGTAATGAGCGTTAAGTGCGAAACGGGGTCTTCAATATCATCTCTGGAAGGGGGAAGGGCAGCTCCAGTTTCACATCAAGGTTCCTGTGACCTTTCACCTCATTCTCAGACCCAGTTTTTTGATCCCAAAAAGAAAACAAAAATACAATCAAGAATTGTAACAGATGCGCTGAGCATATATTTCCTCATTGTATGCAAAATAGTATAAACAAATTTGTGGAGATCGTCGTAGCATAACAATACGTCAATCTTTGTCAATTAACCACATGACCCAAATTGGGAATGCTGGAATGGAATGGAATGAAGCCAACATATGTACTTACTATATCTTTGTATGGTGTATATATATATATATATTATGGCTGTGAAAAAGCGAAAACTGCAGCGACGCGACGTTGACGCCAATTGGATTCCATTGACCTAATCAGAGCCAACAGCAAGTCTCGTAGCTGCAGATCGTAAGTAAGTAGCAGTCGTCGTCGTAGTCGTTCGTCCCAGCTTTGGTATACAAAATAATGCCACGAAAAACCTGAAAATGCCAACACATTTTTCGACTGGGAAGGCTGCGGTCTTTGCGCATGCGCAAAACGCCAGAATTGCATAAGATGGCCGGTAAAACGGGGCTTGGATGGCAACCGAAGGCGAAAATGCAGCCAACAACAAGACATGGGACATCAATTGGCTGTTATCGAAGGGGGGAGGGGAGTGGATCGAAGTGGGGTATCCCCCAGAGTGGGTGGATGGCTCATTGAACTGAAATATTAAGGGGAAAATCAAGGGATTATGTCTCCTTCCCCTTCAATAATCCTTAGAAAAGAAGGATGACTAATTTTTTTTTCGATTTTATTCAGAAATTTTAAGAACAATTTAAACTAGTCTATTACTAGACTAATTATATTAATATCTGATTCTTAAGTTAGTTCTTAAGTCCTTAATTTATGCACATAATCTATAAATTTATCTCAGATAAAAACTCATAAAAATCTTAAGTACCCCTATCTAGGATGGCAGACACCAAAACTGCTACACTTTAAGTTAGTTAGTTTCCCGACTTTGCCATTGCATCATAAAATTTCCCCCCTCTTTGTTGACTGAATAAAACTCTCATTATCAAGCCTGGCTTTGGCGATCTATTCGCCATATAAAATGCCATGAACCATCGGCAAACCATGAGTTAGCAGGTTAACCGAAGGGCGGGCAAGGCAGTTTTTTTCATAAGCCAGCCAAGCAGCAGACTTTGCGAAAACGCAAGTGCCGCAAGTGGCAATATCAAGTCCAAAACTTACATAATCGGACAGAAACAGGCGGCAAGCGGTCGTCACTGCCGGTTATCCAATTAAAAGCAAAGATCAGGGATCTTTTTGCAACCGAAGTGGGCCGGCAAAATTCAAGCCAACAGACGCATGACGCTGGAAAATGCATATAGTATAAAGATATATCTCGAAGCAGAGTTTTTCTCCTCGCAGCACGCGACATCTAGGAAATGGCAGTCACATGACAACCGAGTTTTGCCATGGCAGACAAATAGAAACTCCCAGTGGATGCAGTTAGTGTTGTCGGAGAAATAAGTCTTGAAAATCTATATAATTAATGTATTTAGGAACAGAAATATTGATCCTGTGTTTAAGTTAATCAAAGAAATAGGATTATCTTGGGAAAAAGTAAGAGATTTAGCCATATTGGAATCTTATAGATTTTTTAGCCTTGCAAAGACCTAGAAAAAGTTAAAGAAAGTTTACAGTTTCGTATATAAGCCTATACTATAAGACCTATCAGATTTTAGTCCGCTTTATAAAAGCCTAATTGTGATATACATAAAGCCAACATGCCAGCTCTGTCCCTCTGTGGAAGCCCAGTCAGCTGACTTGGCCAACAAGTTGTCCCGGGCTCCCGAGAGTGAAAAGCGGCCATTTAGGCGTGGACTAGATGCGGGGATGGGGGATGCGTGTGTGTGCGTGACAGGCGGAAACTTGTAATATTATATGCACGCCACAATTATGTAATGATCAGCATCATGATAATACCTTAAGCCGAGCAAGTGGAATCTGTCAGTCAGCCGGTATTCAACGAGGCGTGATCCTCTTCTCCTCTGTCATTCAAGGTGCCTCCTGTCCGGTCGTTTTATCTGGTCAGCATTAATTGTTACGATGTTGGGTCTCAGCTCTATAACAGTCGAGGCCAGGCCACAGAGGAATCTACAACATATTGCAGTGGTGGAGAATGCCGCCTGGGAAAAGACCCTGCCACAGCAGTTTCAGAATCCTTTCTACAACACGCCCAGGGTGAGGGATGCCCTGGCCAGATTCAGTTGGTTTGGTCCCGGCGAGGAGGTGGTAAGTTACAAAAATTGTACATTTTAAGCTTCTTAAAGATGATATTAATATCATTTCTTCTCCAAACTGATTACCTTTATGAATATTTATTTAATTTTCCTTCAGGTCTATGACCGCCAGGCTGAAAAAATTCCACGAATGGAAATCTACAATGTGCTGTCTCATGCTGGCTTGATACCTCGCCGGCGTTTCCTTTAAATTAATAAATAATCTCTTACTCATTTATCTATTGTAAAGTTATGAAAATAAATGTCAAAGTCATTAGTTGTTTAGGAACTAAATAAGTCAAATTATTTCCCTAATTCACAGAACTGGTAAGATATGTACTATAAACCCTTTCGCTAACAATCCATTTCCTTACATAAATAACACATCTTTATTGCATTAGGACTTGTATTATCTTTCTGTCTTATACAAAAATAGAAATATGTATATTTTTTTTAGAACAACTAATAGATTTGTTTACATTCATAACCTCAGTTTGGTTTTCACCGCCGTGATAGTCTTTAATCGATGATCCAAGGTCAACGGGTCGATTTCTCCCTCCGTTGACTGTTCCTCCAGCTTTTCACTGTGCTCCAACAGCGTTTTCCGAGTATCCAATGTGTTTTTCGCCACTTCATTTAGCTCTTCATCCTCCAGCTCTTCATCACTGTAACCATGCGACAGACCATTGCCATTGACGGCCCCTCCATTGGTCAGAGAGGCATCTCCTCCAACTGTCGATGAATGCCTCGAGGTTGTATCCGCCGAAACCAGCAGTGATTTGACGAATTCGCCACAAATCAGGCTCATGGCAGGCATCGTGTGGGCAGAAAGATTGACAAACTGTAATACAGAAATTAAACATTAATTGGCATTGACCTTGCTGAAGTTCAAAAACTGTGTTAGTAGTGACTGGTGCTATCAGATTTTAGGGTGCCGAAATAGTTCGATTTGCAAAATTAACTTAATCAAGCTTGTTACATCAAATTTTTATTTATTAGCAATTTAACATGCATTTTATTGTATGGTAAAATTCAACCTTAAATGGCTGTATGTTTCTTAGTAAATTTAGCTATTATAGCATCTCTATCTATACACCTGTTGCTAGCTTTAAAAAAGTCATCATCACCATCACCATTTGGAGGCGTCTACTTAATAATATTTTGATTTTTTTTTTTTTTGGGTGTTGAGATTGCGGTTCAAGTTCAGGCACTGGACAATGGTTATCACATGATTACTTTTCGGTTTTCGTGTCTTGTCATTGCTGAGCGTCTTTTAAATGCGACGAAGTGCCTCTGTGTCTCTATTAACCTTCGCGCATGCGCTCGCCGCTTGTTGATCCATTTTTTACTTATATGCAAACCAAACGAAATCGGAAATCGGCAAAAACAATCCAAGTGCAAGCATGTCTGTCAATTTGTTAAGTGGCTAGTTGCAAAATATTATTGTTTTTCCCAGGAAAAAGACACTCACTGGATGATTCAGTAGCGATAAGCCTGAATTGAGTTCACTTCCAGAAACCGACTAAAACTAGTATAAATCCTCGAAAAGAAATACGATAATTGGCGAAAGTAATTAAGGCAAGTACAATATAATGCACGTGGCAACAGTGTTGGGGAAAATTTACAACGTTGAACAAAGCGATCTTAATTATTGGCCCAACATAATCGAGTATTATTGGGAAAACTAAAGTGTCACGAGCACGCAATGGAAAAAGCTCGAAACACGCATAAACAATAAATTGAGGGGACAATGGCTTGGCCAGAGGGAAAGGGGAATGAGTTCAATTTAAGGCACAGTGATATAGAAACTAATGAAAAACTGAACATGGAAAAATTACAAAACGAGCTAGTGTACGATGACCTATTTATTTTTGTTACTTTTTAAAGCTTTTTCACCCAAAGGTAGGTATGCATTTTTTAAGTATTTGAAATTAAATTAATAAAGAAAAATCCCAAAATATTAATTAAAAAAAAATATTAATTAAAAATTAGTTCCAATTCAGAAAGTTCCAGCAACAAATATTCAACCGAATTTGTAGTAAAGTTTTCAACCTCCCATCCCACTGTGCAGGCGTGTGCTTGCACCAGCCCACCAGCTCGTTACTCATTCACAATAGACGCACTGGCAAGTGCACAAGTCATCGGAGAAAAGAGCACAAAAGAGCGAGCTCTGCCCGCAATAATAACAAAACCAAGAATTGCGGAGAGCGGACGAGGCCGAAGCCCGTGCCGAAGTGTGGAAGTCCGGAGCCGAAGTCCGGAGCTGCGAGTATAAATTGGCGAGAGCCGCGGCGACAGCTCAACACTTTACCGTTGTGTTTTTCGCAGCAACAACCGTTAGCCGGAAAGGAAAGAACGAAGAGAGCCGGAAGCGCGTGCCGCTAAAGTTTACGGAAATAAAGGCGGACAAAAGTTCATCCTCGCCTGCAACTGACAAAGTGCCAAAATCCAGATTAAACGATTTACGAGCAAATAAAAAAAAAAACAAAAACAACATTTCATACGGTGCAGAGTGCAGTGCAGAGGCGTTGTAAAACTCCTAAAAACACTCTCTCCTCTTCTCCACCTCACCCGCATCCGCATCGGGATACGGAAATTTGGAAAATGTGGCCCAACTTTGTAGCCGTCATTTCCCTGCTATGCCTTGCATTCTTCGCTTGGGCAAACGCTGGACCCGTGCCAATTGTGAATGAGGTGAGTGCATGACAGGGAGGTGAAATGGGGGATGCATGCCAAAAAGGAGTACAGCCGGGGCCACGAATTTGGGGCAATGACTTCACTTCACTTCACACACATTCCAACAAAAATCAAATGGCTGCCCCAGCTGCAATATGCAGGAAGTGCAAACTCGCTAATTAAAAGTGGGCGTTGAGAATCGTTGAGAAAAACAAAGTGCAGTCTTAATTAAAAGATTGCTTATGAATTAAAAACAGCGGAGGAACATAACCATAAAAAGAAAATGTCATATAGGAAGTCAAGGTTTTGAAATACTTTTCTTACATAACATCTACCAATTCCTTACATTCCCAAGAGACTAAGATACGTCAACCTAATCAAAATATAGTTCCTACAACGATATGAATCTGACTAAGAATCTATCTTACAATCCCTAACTTAATAACAACTTAGCTCAAAAAAACATAGCTAATCATTCCAACATTCATATTTGAAAACAATAAATAAGGAAATCAACAAACTTTGTTTGTCGCCCACGTTTTAAGCGTGTGTTAGTTAATCTTTCCAACTAAATATAGACTGACAGCATTTATTTCGTTCCGAAGATCAGCGAGACTTTCTATAGGCGACTGTCGTTTATATAATATTCCATATGGGATCCTATCCCTTATCAATACCCGTGAAGACTTGACCCTTGATAGAATAAACAAAGTAATTAATTAATTAAAAAATAAATATCAACTGATTGCTAGAATGATCTGCGGTAAAGGAATACCCCCAAATTGGAAGAGTCAAGTTCAGCTGATTATTTGACTATTAGTATTATATAATATTCATTGGCTTATTATTAGCCTCACATAATTAGTGTATATATCTCTAACTAGATGAAATCTAATAGACCTATCCCAAAAATCCCTAAGACCAAGAATCAGAATCGCAGATTGTTCAGTTGCTAGGCTAAAGCAAAGCACATAACATAGATAAATCCCAAGCGAAGACACAATTGAAAGGCGGTTCCAAAAATAAAACCCACTTTGAGAAAACAGCGTTATAAATCTCAATGGAAATTATTCAAATTGAGTTGGACGTCAGTTGGGCGCAGACGGAAAATACAAAAGAACCCCACAACTGAAAGACAAAAGGGACAAAAGACGGTGACGACTGACGCCAAAACGAAGCGACGTCAGAATCTGGAAACTGTGATGTAAAATTTTCATATATCTTAAACCTAGAACTCCTTTATCTGTTTTTCCAAATCAACTAGCTTACTAAGATCCCTTTAATATTCCCCCTTTTCAGCACCAACAACTAATGCCGAAAGTTCCTCAATGGCATTGTCTACGCTACTTTAAGCACGATGTCCTGATGATGCGACGTTGTCGCCATTTGAGAGTCCCTACGGCGCCGCGACTGGGAGATGTCCTTAAGCGTAAGAAGAAATAGTATCCGGCCTATAGACAATCATCGTCAATACTCAAAACGACTGAACAAGAAGATCAATTAAAATTCAATTTTTTAAAGGATTTCTAAACCAGACCAAAGCTAAAACAAATATATATACTACCATTTATTACTGAATATGTGGCATACTAATAATAAGTTTAACCAATTGTACTTCATAGATCAGTAAGATTTCAATAAAACGACTAAAAACTTTTAAATACTTTTATGAAAGTGGAAAACTAAACTCACCGCATTGACAGCACTGTGTTGTCCTCGTCCCACAATCAGTGGCCCACTCTTCTCAAGGGATTCCGTGGAAATCTTCTGCTTGTTCACATGAATGCCGAATGTCGCGTGCCTTAGCAGATTTTCCTTGACAGCAGGCTGGGCAAAAGTGATCGGCGCGGGAGCATCATCTGATGGACTCTGACCCGGTAGCGACAGGTATGCAATCTCTTGCGAGTGGGTCAGCATCAGCAGTGTAGACTGCGCCTGCCAATCCACATTGATAGAGCTCTGTTTGGGCTGTCTCCTGGGCAACCACGCTAAACCATGGGTCTTAGGCAGATTACTGCGCTGATAAAGAGGCAGTGGAACATTCGGTTGGAACACATGCACTTAAATAAGAAAAGTGATGCAAATTAATAAATAGGTCAATGGTTAATTATGATTTTAAATCAACTCACATTCATCATTTTTCGTGATGACAGCCATTAGGTTGGTCAGCGGATCAAAGGCCAGCTGACGGACGGATAATTTTAAACCCGCCTGCAGTCGCAGCGTTAGCAAATTCCAAATGAGCACCCTCGATTCCGTGCAGACTGCCACCAGGTGAGCCTGATCCCCGGCTCCAAATTGCACATGTGAAATCTGCGCCAATCCCTGCAGAGGAGCCGCCATTGCGGGAATTTTCTTTGCCTTCTGGGTTCCTTTACTGTTATTATTTTGTTTTGATTTGTTATTCCCATCCTTTTTCGGTTTACTGTTTTCATCCAGACTCAGGACACTGAACAGAGACATAACATCCTGCGGAACATAATTCTCAAAGTTCTGTCTTCTTTTGTTTACAAGATTAAGCCGCTGTTTGGCTTTGTTTCTATGTCGCGTATGCAGGCGATGCAGTCGGCCATCCAATTTGCGAAGCCTCAATCTCGTCTCATGTGGAACCACTGTCCTTCGCTGGAGAAGCTCCATTAAGCGATTCCGATGGGTTTGCGGAACGGTGCATACGATTCCGAAACGCCGAAGCAGTTGTAATTTCTGATGCAGACCAAGTTCAGACATTTTCATGATGTACTTAAATACCGTTTCCTTTCTTTCATTTTCCGGTTGATTTACGAGTTTAGCGTTGGCTGGAGGACCCGCTATCAAATCTTTGGCCTGCTGGATTAATTTATCATCATTGCTATTTAACAAGGTATTTAACAGAGCCCACAATTGCTGCCTTTGCTGGGTAAGTTCTTTCCTAGCGCCATTCAATGGCTTCTGGGCCAACCTCAATTGTGCTTTGGATATAACTCCATCTAAGCCAGGAGGACAGCTCAAAGTCTGAAGAGGCAGTCGCGGATTCCTCGGCATCATACAGAGCTAAAATGTTGCCATAGCCCACGGCCAATAAAGAACCATCCTGTGAGAAGGAAATGGAGCCAACGGGCAAATTCCTGTAGCTTGTCTGCGCCAAGCAACTCCACATTGAACCACGCTTATATATGTTTTCGGAGTCGGTAATGCCCCACACTTTGATTACGTTGTCTTCGCCAGCGGTGGCACACCGCAAATTGTCCACCTGGAACTGGTTGGAGAAGGTTATCGCCTTAAAACCTTGTTCGTGAGGCAGGTTGATCTCCGTATTTAGAATATAACTGTGAGAAATTGAATCATTAAATTAATTAATATCATAAAGAATTTGGTTAAGACTTACCTCTGTAGCTTTTCATTATACTGCCAAAATTTTAAACGAACTTCGGCAAAGTTCTCCAAGTCATTGTACACCTCTCCGGTGGCCATCCAATTGATATTAAAGGCTGCTCGGGTTATACGCCAATTGTAGATAATATGGTTTGCCACCTCACTGAACACATTATTGTCCACCACGCGAAGCTAAATAAGAATACAAATGAATACAATGAATTATCCAAATTATGTTAGAAATATTAGCCACTCACATTATACAACATGCTCTTTGTGTAAGCCGAATAAAACTGCAAGTGTCCTGATCTGCCATTCAGCACCAACGAATTTGTCCTTGGATTCAGACGTAACCCTAAAGGAAACTTGCTTTGTCCCGTGTTACCTTTGGTCTCGTAGGTAAAGTGCTGGACGGTTGATTTGATCACGCTACTACTGCCACTCACTAGCTGGATGGCATTGTCCTCGGTACAAACCAGAACATCCTCGTTGTCATTGCTGACCACAATGTGTCGAATAACACTGGACATTCTAGGCAAATATTTGCGTTTCTCTGGCGCGGCCAAGGACCATTTCACTAGAACGCATTCATGCCCACCGCTATAGATGGATACACCCGATGGCGAAAACGCAAGACTGGTCACCTCCGTGTTATGCCAATGAAACAGCGTGTTGGTCATCGTTTCTTGCTTTTCAAAATCCCTCCATATGAATATCTGGCCTTCGGAATCAGCGGTTGCTGCAACCATTTCGCAGGGACTCATCCGCACACAAGTGATATTATGTTGTTTGGCGCTCTTGTAGCGGCAGAATTTCCAGGTCACATAATTCACGAAGTAAATGTAGAAGCCTTGTGCCAGTACAATGTATTTAAACTGACCTTTTCCCACGTCCACGATAGGAACACGAACTCTGTAAGCATACAAATTATATAAGATGTTGTTTGTGCAGATATGTTAAGTATTTGATAAAAAGTTCCATAAGTAGCAAAATATAAAAAACTCACTTGAGCTTGAGTCCGCAGTTGATTTGAATCTTTTCGCCCGTGGTCGTGTTGACCACGAACCAGTTGACCTGTTCGCCACTTTTCCTTTTAGTTGTAACAAAGGCGCAGGCTGTGTCACTTCCTTTATACAGATTCATCAGGTGGCAGGTTAAAACAGTGGTTTCCCCCGGGCCCAGTTTCAAAGGTACGGTTTTCTTTAGCACACCAGCTCTCCAGTTCCAACGAACTAACTCTCCAGTACTAGTACATCCTATGAGTTGATCTGGATGCTTTAGTTCCAATTCCAAACTGATCAAGGGAGCCGTGGCATCATCCAAGACTCTTGTAAGTTCACCCGTACTGGTGGCATATACCTGAACCTTTGTCAGACATCGTACGAACATAAATCTGAAAAACAGGAAAAGGGGTATTACATATAAAGGGCTATATAGTATCGGTTGTGTACTAACCTTCCATCAGGCGAGAAGACGGGCGCATGTTCCACGATGTTGCCGCCTGCTAGAAACTGCAGTTCCAATCGATCCTCGTCGTCGAAATTCATGGTTGTCTTGTCTTGGAATCGATGTTCTGATAATCTTCAGTGCTTTGGCACTGTTTGGCGATGGGAATGTCACTCAATTTATTCGTTTTTTATCACTTTTTGCGAATGATGTCCAACTAAAATTCAACCACATCAATGCACGTGTAGCTCAGTGTGCCCGGTAACTGGGCGCCAAGGAAATATACTTAAAATATACCATCCAGTGTTTAGATTTTTATTTGATAACATTTTTAAATCAAACAAAAATACAATAAAAATACTGCATTTGAAATATACTAGTTCAGAAGAACCATTCATTGGTTCACCGGTTCACCTAGTTCAGAACCCATCGTACATGTGAAAAGGCTGCACTGTATAGAAATAAATTTGTTAATGGATTTATTCCGGCCCCAAAAAAGTGCCAGTACCACTTCAGCTAGCTAGGGGACGGAACTCGACGAGGATTTAAAACCGGAATATCCAATCGCCGAAAAAGACGACCCCTGATAACGAGGCAAAATGCAAAATAAATTCTGGGGCACAACAACAACTGCTGACATGTGCAACGTAGCATGGAAAATGGGTATTTTCTCGAACCGCTTGCGGGCAAGTGGTCAAAGGACGTGGACTTCCCTGCTCCTAGTGCTCATACTTATCGGTAGCTCGACAGCCGCAGAACCTCTGAAAGTTATATATGCCGTTAACGCTGGCGGAGATGAGCACACTGATCTAAATGGCGTCCAGTACGATGCGGATCCTCTCAAGGGCGTTGGAATCGCTTCTGACTACGGCAAGCACCTACTAATGATTGGCCGTGTGCAGGAACATGATGAGGTGCTCTACAGGACCGAACGTTATCACACCACCACTTTTGGCTATGATTTACCAAGCGATGGCGATGGAGATTACGCCCTGATAATGAAGTTCTGTGAAGTTTATTTCGATGCGCCGCAGAAGAAGGTCTTCGATGTGCTTCTCAACCGGAAGCACACGGTTGTCCGTCAGCTAGATATCTATAATCAGGTGGGCAGGGGCTCTGCCCACGACGAGATTGTGTACTTTAAGATCAACAATGGTCGATTAAACTACGAAGGCGAAGTGTCCGATGTGCGGAATGGCCGGCTTCGACTGGACTTCATTAAGGGTGCACTGGACAATCCCAAGATAAACGCCTTTGCCTTGCTCAAAGGAGATGTGTCCCAGTTGCCACGACTGCATGGAACAGAGGCTAGTGAAAGGATTAAGCTAGAGGGCAAACAGAATGCGGAACAGAAGACAGGAAACCAGGTGGAGAGAGTTGTGCGCAACCAGCGGGAGGATATCGACGAGGATGATGAGGATCTGGACGACGAGGAGTTCGAGGAGGAGCTGCCCGTGCAGCAGAACGACCAGCTGGGCATTGATCAGTCTTCCCAGCATCAATCAGCAGACTCTAAGCGATCCTACAGTGGCCCCCGTCAACCGAATCCGTACTCTATGGACGACTCTTCAATTCTGCTGCCAGTTTTCATCGCCATTGGGGCCTTTATACCGCTGTTGTTTTGCCTCTGCAAGCTGTGATCCCAATCCGTTGCCCACTCAACGATCTCGGCCTGCGTTGATTTCCTGCTTTGTGATTTTGTGATTTTGATAAAAGACTTAATTGTATACTTATCGTTTAGTTCGTACGTTAGGCATACCCTAGAGATCGGTACCCTCGATCCCAAGACGCACAGCTCTCTATCGCCCTGTACTTTCCATATTTGATAAGCAATTTTTGTGTTCCTTTCGTTGACCACTGCCGTCACAGACTCGGGTACTTAATCGTTGAGTCAATTGGCTTTTTAACTCCAGATCGTTTAATCGCTTGACTCGGGGGGATGTGCGCACAAATTTTAAGCGGTTTTTTGGAACAGTTTGATTGAAAACTGTTACTTTTGAATGAAATTAAATAAAATGAACCTTGTTTGTTATTGAACAAAACGTTTATTATTATTTCGGTTGGATCTTTTTAACTGGCTCTCCACATTTGAATAGTTTCAGGTCTAAAAGTTTTGATTCATGGAAATAATGTCATGCTTTCTGCTTAAATATGAATAAAAACTTTTTAAATATTAGATTAAATATATTGCTCACTCATTCTCTTATCGGCTGAAGTTTATGTTTAGCCTGAGACGGAATAAAAGTAGTCCATTTGCATTTATTTTTAAGTAATTAAGTTTTTCAGTAAATATTTTAGAACATACGTGTACCAATTGAAATTATTAAAATGTTCAAAATTTGGTTTCTGTGCAGGACAAGTTCATTTTTCGAACCGATAACGATACTATCGAAAGGCAATCGGAGTTTGTACCATCACGGGCGGATGTCCTGGTGGGGCTGGAAAAGCTGGCGTTGCGAGGAAAATTCAGTCTTCAGCGCGTGTCCATCGAATCGGCAGTGAAAATGTGCCAGCGGCGGTTCTTCAGCAGCAAGTACACCAGTTTCCACAAGAATCACATCAAGTTGTTTGCCGTTTACATGAAAACGGCGAATTTGATGCAAAACTTCAATGTGCTGAAGCGTTCGCTGTAAGCGCCGCTGCCGCCGCCTCTGCCACCGCCTCCTCCACTACCCGCAAAAATTAAATAAAAGAAAAGTTAAAATTAAAGTTAATTCCCGGCTGTGTGTGCTAGTGTATTCAAAATAGTGCTAAATCGAAACAAAAATCCAATAATGCTTTAACGCTGAAGTAGAAAATGTCTGAAGGAAAAACCGAAAAGCTGGTGAAAATCCTCTATAAGAAATTTAACAATTACAATTCAATTTAGGCGTGTCTAGCTAAATAACGGTAAGTTCCATTTTCTCTTACATAATGCTTAATTATTGGAGCTAACTGATTTTTGATTGATACCCCGAATTGCATAATAACGGAGCCACAAGTTCGGTATAATGTTTACCGACTTTTCGTCTGTCCTTTCCTCAGAATTTGACTTTGCCAAAAGACATAAAATCCTTCGGAAAAAAACATTCTGTCATCAGGTGCAGGAAAAAAAGTATCGCTCTCTCACGGTCTCTCTCTGGCTCTCCCTTCGGGACTTTTACTCTCCCAAGTTTACCTTAACTCTCTCCCACGCGATTTCAGGAAAATCGGCAAACAGATGTTTTTTGAACTCTCCTTTGCGCATGTAATGTAACGGTGCCTACGCTAAACAAAAACAAATTGTCTATGCCGACGCCATTTTTACGTCACAGCCGCTGCTGCACTTCGTAACAATAACAAAAACAATAACAACTGCATCCAGCTCTCAAAAGCAGGCAACACTTCTTGCATTGACGGCGGTTGACGGTATCTGTGTGTGTGTTTGTGTGGGTGTTTTATATAATGCGAATAGGATCCGTAGGCGCCTTGTTATTGTTATTGTAGTTATTGTTGTTTATGATGTGTAATGATTTTGTTCCGTCATGTGGACAATGGCATCTAGATCCAAAAAAATACGTTCAGCTTAATGGGCACTTCACAGTTGACCTTCGCTATTGTGTACCTTAAAGTTAAGATTGCTTTAAGGGCTGAGATTGAATTACTGTCATAGTATATAATCATCACTTTAGCATTTACAACATCTAAAAGTTTTAAAAATCCGAATTTAATTTTGATTTTATATAATTTATCGGTAAATCGCAATATTATTACCACATAAACTTGTCATTCTCACAATTTTAAAATTTCTTTCAAGCAGTGCAATCTGTTATTTATGATCCAAATGTTTATTTCCTTGAATAAAATACGATAACTTATAAGTTATAAAAGTCAGAAATGCACTTAAGTGCTAAGTTCCCTGGCAAATAGATTTCCCCGTAGCTCACATTATTAGGTTTTTGGCTCCGTTTTCGCTGCGGCAAAGCCATAACTATTGTCCACTTGTCACGCCCCAAAACAAAAAAAAGTGGGAACTCAGTTGGTTTTTTTCCCTTCCTGATTTACAATACTGTAATGTGTAGCCAGGTCCTTTGTCCTTCGTCCATGGTCATTGCAAATGTGTAATATGTAATAAAATTGTTGTATTCCATTTCCCATGGTCCTCTATCTGTCTGATGAAGTGGTGGTGGTGATTCGAGGATTGGAGATGGAGGAGCTGTCTGATTTGCTATTTCGGTTCGTCCTGCGGCGTGTCCTTGAGAAAAGCCAGGGGCTTACATAATAGCCGGCGCTGGCGGTGGCGAGAAAGCTTTGGGGGTGTTACTGGGCGTTATTATTATTATTGCCATGTTTTCCAGCTGAAAGTTAAAGCCGCACACACGCACTCAACATTCAAGTCTAATGAACCTGAAGCAGGACTATGGACTGACTACGGTCTATAGCCTCCACTTTTCAGCGAACAACTTTTGAGAAAACTTTGATGGTTTTCCGTTTTACGGGCTTTTGTTTGTTTGCAAACGACTTTGTGGATTGCCTTTATGTGTTAACAAAGCCTTTAGTATCACCATTGTTTGCTCGAAAGTTTCAAATATTTTTTAATGTGGCTTCTTAAATGTTAACTAAACTGTTTAAAGGTTTCCTAAATAACTTCATTTTCCACACTAAAATAATTATTGTAGATTTTTTTGTTAAAATTATTATATCTGAGCCCAAGTAACTAAATTTGTATTAAGCAAAAAAAAACTACATAGTTAGAAAAGTGATTTTGATAATGAATAAAATTGAATTTCCACCATTAAGGAAAAGTCCCTCATTACGACTCAGCTTCCCATCCACAAAGCCAATCTAATCAGAATTATTTAACCATTGTCAGCTTTGGAAATCATTAGCAATAATATAGCAAACACTGAGAGAAACCTTCTGCAGTTTTCCATATGATTTCTAACATAAAATGAACACGGGCTAAAGTCATTTCTCACTGTGCAAACGTGGCCCTGCCTGTGGCTTTAGTGTATAAAAATGTACTCTCTTGATTCATAAAATCGTCGTTAGAGGGACATCCAATCAAGGCAGCAGACGACGCAGTTTCGCCAAATGAACCCTCCATCCTTAGGATTCAATTACGTGCACTTAGCTGCAGTCGTTCAAGTACAAGGATAATGTGTACTCCACAGTCTCTGTGTCTCGTGTTTTCAGGCCAAAGATAAAAAGGCTGCACCCACACGCCATCAGCTGCCAACTTTGGATCGATATTATGGAAATGCCAAGATATTGAAATGTTTGCATTGAAAGTGCTGCACACACTCACTTGCTCCGTGCCCTTTGCAATTATGAAGGAATTACAATCGTGTTGTTATCCTTGTATACACCACACCTCACAGCCCAGCGGCAGTATTATGCCAACGACCAAAAAGAAAAAAAAAATCAATTTCCACTGCGGGAAACTCGGTTTTCCTGGCCATTTGTGGTTGCCTCCAATGCCCCAGCTGCCTCAATTATTCATTTCAATTAACTGCACAAAAGTGGGCAAGAACGCAAGGATATTGCTAACGATGTCCGCTTGAATTTAAGCATGTCCCTTAATTGAGGGTTTTGTGTCTTGACCAGTTTGCTCCTGTGGGTATGCAATGGTTTTTGAAGGTAGCCTTCCTTGCGTTTTTTTTTGGTTTTAATTACTGATATTTACTTACTATAAACATATAATTATTTATTTGTTTATTTATTTTAAGGATTTGTAATTTGTTTAAACAAAATATTACATTTTTTTTAAATTTTTTTATATTAAATATTGATTTTGTGTTATTTAAATCTTTTAAAAAAGGAGTACAAATTTAATACTTAACATTTTTCACATCAATAATTTATAATTTTCTTACTTCACCAATAAATACAAAAAATAATTTTGCATGCAATATTTTCTTGCCATTTCGTTTTATGAGCATATTCTTTTCCCCTCCAGCCCTCTTCCAAACATTCGCTATAACAGCTGTTGAGCTTATGTGGGTGCCGGTTAACAGACCCACGCTCTGTTAACCGCTGGAACACCACTGTTATCGGTTCGATTTGAGTTTCTCCGCTCTTTCAAATATATTTTCCACCGATTCTCGCATTCAGTTCTCGGCTGTACAGCGCACAGCAGCTTGTATTTTTCCGACACGGTCGCGGAAATTCGATTTTCCATATCCATTTGGCTGGGCCAAATTTATTTGAGAACTCTATTCGAAAACGTTTCGGGAAAACTATTTAAATATGTAAATCGAAACGCAAGCAAGCCGTGTTTTTTCCCTAACTCAGTGTTTTTATGGTGTGTGAACAAAATGTGTGCGTCTTTTTCTCGTCAATAAATATTTATGCACATTGTGCCGTTGGTCGGGCATAAATTAGAAATCATTATTTATTGCACACGTCTGCAGTGCGAATCAAAACAAAATCGGAAGCGGAGAGAGAGTCAGAGTGACAGAGTGAGAGAGAGGAAGAGAAAGTGGCGGAGGGATAGAGAGAGGAGAGTGGGCGAGAGAGTGCGAAAAATAGTGGAAAAGAAATAACAGCTGCCGGCTGATTTGTTACGGAAAAGGAAGACGAAGAAAGAACAAGAAAAACGTGCGTAAAGTTTGTTATATCTACACTGAAAATAAATCAGTTTTAAGGCGAATTTATCTCTTTTATATGCAAATATATATTGTTTCTTGAATGATACATATATACGATATATATATTTTCATTCAGAAAAGTATATATTGTTTAAGCATTATATATAATGGATAATATAGAATAACAAAAATAGAACAAAGAAAACTGAAACTAGAAAAACAATTTTCTAATATATGTATGTATCTCATGCCAGACTATATTGCCAAGAAATATCCAAAAGTTACTTTTCCCACTGTTGATATTCCTTCAAAAAATTGTAAAAACAAAATATTTTCGCCTTATACATACTTATGTATGTATTGCTCGTGTATTTATAGAACATCTTTTATATTCTTCACATTTCCAACGACAGTGTGTTTTTTCTTCTATTATTATTTTCCTTTTTCTATGTCTACCAAAAGTGCACTTGAGTTTATTTCGGTCTTTTGCCGGCTCAGTCATTCCCCTTGTTTTCACTTCTCCATTCGTTTTGCTCTACTTATTTGTTCCCGTTTCGCATTCCGAAATACCCATACATGTTTATGTACATGTACATACATATATTTGTGTGTGTTTAAATAGTATATAGAAAAACATTTGTAATTGTTGCTGTTTGGTCTACATAATTTGTTGTTGCCAACCTGATAACATAGAACAGCATGGCAACATATAGTCATGCTTCTTGCTTGGCGCAAAACGCGATGCTTTTTTTGACTGACTCATCAAATTTCAATATTTTATTTAGTTGTTTTTGTTTTAAGAATTTTTATTCTAAGAATTTGTTTATCTCATTTTTTTATCCCCTCAAAAAGTCTTAAAACTTTACTTAGTTATTTTTAAAATCAAAAAATTTAATCAAGCAACTCCTTGAACATGTTTTTAACATGATTTCAAATTTTTAAATATTTTTCCAAAATTTTTATAAAGATACAAAATGGCCCACCGTCACTAGAGCCGTCAAAATAAACACGTTTCCTCTTTTCAATCGGGCATAAACAAATATTTATAGAAGCCTGTAAGTATATAAAGCTTATATAAATATAATATAT